CTTCTGGAAGTGTTAATGTGTTGTTTCTTGCCTGAGAAGGCTGAAGGTCGAGCAGGGGCTTCTTATCAGAGATAGTACCAACTTTCAGAGCTTAAGAGCTGCTCCCTGTTTGCCTCCTGCCTCATTTTTGGGTAGTTTGTTCCTTCTCTGGTATGACTGATCTGTACCTTTCTGGAATTTGTTCCCTTTAGATTATATTCAGAAATGGCAGAGGACTGAATCCTAGGACCACTCCCTCTGCCTTTGTGTGGCCTTCTGAGGACTAGAGAAGGGAGTGACTAAGGAGGTTAAGAAAAATCTCTTGCTTGGACTCAGCTTGCCTTTTTAGTGGTCTCAGGGTCAGGAAGGCCAGTGCCCATCCCTCTAAGGATACCAGAGGGCCTTCAGCTCTCCTCATCCTTGCCCTTTGTAGTCCAAGTGCCATGGAGGAGGCTTCATGGGGCACTTGTCCTGTTCCTCTGGGGCTTCACAGGCAGAAAGCAGAGCCTTCAAGAAGTTCAGGCCCTTTGAAAGCTAAGAGAGCAAAAAGGTCCCAGGGCTGATCATTGTTGCCAGCAACAGGTGTGTTCTCCAGAGCCAGCTCCAAGGAGTTAATTGATGTGTTTTCTTCTTTCTGGAAACCGGTAATTAACACTGCTCGGGCATAAATGTATGTGGCTGCTGCAGGTTCTTCCTATAATCCTAATGCATAATCTAGTCTCCCTTTTCTTACTTTTTAGCTGACAGCTCTGACAACTCTGATTTAGAAGATGACATCATCTTATCTTTGAATGAATGAGGAGCCATCACCACTTGGAAGGAAGAGATGATTGGCAGGCGAGAAACTGAGTCAGATGAATTCAGAATACCTTCCCTTCCCTTTCTCACCAGGGCTGTCTGTCAAGGACCTGCATGCCCTGCATTCAGAAGATTATGGTTTAGAGTCTCACTGGAATCTGAAGGTCATTGTAAAATAACAACCACAAAAAAGGCAACAGGGATTAGGCCCTATTCTGCTTCCCCCACTTCTCCTAAGATGGACATATCTTTCCTCAAGGGAAAAAAAACAAAAACAAAAACATGTCTCTGGGGTTATTTCACAATATATTTTCTTTGTATAACGTTCTTTAAAGAACAAGAAATAGTTTTTTATAAAACTTAAAAAACAAACAAAAAAAAAAAACAAACCAAAAAACAGGCATTTATAACTGAGGGTATGAACTTATATCCACCAGGTCTCTTGTCCCCGCACTTCATTTTCTTTGGAAGAAAATGATGTTTAAAGAACAATACAGAGGCATTTTTACATACGTATTTAAATGAAAAGGAAAATCGTGGTTTCTTAAATTGATAAGGATTAAGAATATTTTATTATAAATATAATATATGATTTTTTAACCTGTTTTGTTGCCTCATATTGCTGTCAGGTTAATTTGTTTTTTCCTTCATGCCAGAGGTGGGAAGGAAGGCGCTGCTTATTTGCTGAGTAAATGCCTAAATTTACCCACCTTCATGGTTTGGGGGCAGCATGGTCATTGTGGATATTGGTTTTGTGGAGTCGAGGGAACTTAGGATGTAAGTTCACTCCCTCTATTTTTCTTTGTGATTCAGTTTTTCAAATTTTTTTTTTCTTCCCTTTCTCCCCAATGTGGAAATTACAAATCAAAGGCCTTTTTCTTTAATGTAAAGTGTATTTATTTAAAAAAATACAAAATAAACTACAAGTCTGTCTTTGTTTATGGCCTTTCCCTGTTCTCTTTTACCTAAGTGAGGTATTCTTTTACTTGCAACTCTTGCCAGGTCATATGGAAGATGCCTTCTAAGTCAGAACAGGGTGTTGGGAACATGTTCTCCCCTGGAGAACAGGAGCTCGGGCAGTGTCTGGCCCTGGCCTGCAGCTCTTGGGAGGATCTTTTTCTGCAGAGTGATATACAGGGGCAGAGGGAGGAGCTCAGCATCGTCCACTCTGGACACATCTGTTTATCCCCATGTTCTAGATCAAGAAGGCAGCTCCTGAGAAGGGATTTAGTGGGATTGGAAAGGCAGGGTTCCTGGCAAGCTTTGGAGGAGTGAGCAGACAAAGCTAAGGAGAGCATTTTGACCATCATCATCGTTATTTCGTGACTGTCATCACTTTCCTGAAAGGGACTGTCACAGGGGGCTTGAGCAGTTAGTTATGCAGTCCTGGTGGTTGAGGAGCAGTTAGGCTGTTTGCAGATACTTGAGGGGTGTCTACAGTTGGCCTATGTATAAACAGTAATCACTGAAGAAAGCACCAGTGGTTCCTCCTACCTTTTTGCTCACCCCTCTCTGCTTTCCTTCCCACAATAAATAGAAGACTAGTCTCTCTCTTTAATTTTGCCCAAATAACAGCTTCTTGGGTCTTTTTTTTTTTTTTTTAAATTTAGATATCATATAGCTAAAAAGAGAAGAGAGACATTTGGTTGTGAAGAATTAAACAAGCAACACAAGAAGGCTAAAACTCTCTAGGGACAGGTGCAGCAGCCGGGCTCAGAAGCAATGTACAATTTGTCATGCATTGTGAGTGGGCCTGCACTGTTGCGCGTACCTCTTGGTCCTCCTGAGAGCGGAGCTTTCACCTCTTTATCTGCTTCCTACCTCAGCTTTAAATGGAGAGTTAACACTAACCAGTAGGGCAGTTTTACTGCTGGTACTGAACATACCAGAAGAGAGAACAGGTTACCAGTCAAGATCCAGTAAAAGCACGTCATTCTGTTCACTAATGCAGCTAAGCAGTCTCCCTGAACCCTGCCAGGAACTCATGGGAGCACTCACAGGTCTCAGAGGTGGAGACGGGCAGTCTACTAGGAAGCACAGTTCTGGTTGACTTGACAACACACCCTTAGGAAAGTGCCCTAAGAGGCTAAGAAAATGATGATTTGCCAGGAAGAAACATGTAGAAGAGTTGCACACCACCAGTGATGTCAGTTTGCCTTCAAGCAGTATCTCAGAACTTGACCCCAGTTAGAGGCACTGGACACCTGCAGTTGGTTTTCTTACTGGGGTAGTGTCACGAAACAGCCATGGTAATGGTAAAGAGGTCACGGAACCTGCTATGTCTTTTTTTTTTTTTTTTAAATGTATAAACCTTTATTTTATTCATTTAGTTATATGTGGTGCTGAGAATCAAACCCAGTGCCTTACACATGCTAGGCAAGCGCTCTACCACTGAGTCACAGCCTCAGCCCAGAACCTGCTGTGTCTTAAGAGCTAAAAGAAGGAAGTGGTTGAGGTCCAGGGAAGAGGAGGTCTGTCGAAGTGGGGTGTGGCCCTTCACCAAAACTCAGTGGTTGTTTTTGGGTAGAGGGAACCCCCACCCCTGGGGGGGTAGATAAAAGGGGTAAAGGCTGAGGTGTCTTCATTCAGGTTTCCTAACATGTCTCTTTGCTGCCTGGGAAAGCTGGTGGGTGTATTTTAGGTCCTCAGCACTTACTCTGAAGGAAGACGGGTAGCCTAGATGTACCAGGGCAGCTGAGTCATGTTACATAGGCATGTTAAGATATGCAGGAAAAACTCTACAATGTACCTTTAACAAGACAAGGCCTACTCCTATTTCTGGGGATTCCAGCTACTCTGGAATGTTAGAGGTGTGTCCTGCTGTGCCTGACCAACTTGCTTAAAAACCTACAGCTCAAGTAGAAACAGGCAAATAAAAACAGATCTAACACTTTCTGGTGTGTGGGCTGCACCTGGAGGGTTGGCATGGCTAGGAGAAAGAACCACTTTAAGGGTCATCTTTCACCAGAGCGCCCACTCCTCATCCATGATCATGATCCTTTGGAATATACAGGTTCCCATACTTTCTGGAGAGTGGCATTTGGGCTGTGTTCTATGGTGACAACTGCTGTGGGTTCTAAGTTTTCCTCTCTGGTCCTGACACTGCTGAACTCAAGTTTGCCAGCCCTGGTCTCACTACCTAATAAGACAAGCAAAGGCAGAATTCTAAAACTCCTTCAGGCTGCCTTTCCCTCCAAGGTAGAGAGTGCTTCCCCATCCTTTTCCTCTCCAGCTGGGCTTGTGTGGCTTTGACACTGCCAAGCACCTCAGCCACTGTGGCCTCATTTTTTTCCAAGAGAAATACCCATTTCTGTGTTCTCCAATTGTATAAGAGCAAGAAACCATTATGTCACGTATAACAGGCATCTTTCTAACCTACTACACTCCCCTGTAGAACTGAAAAGTACTTCCAACCAGGGATTAGTTGTACTACACAAAGCTCTAGGCACGACTGGGCATAGTCCCATTCTATGGACACCATCCCTGAAGGACCAAACACCCCCAAATCATAAATACCTGGGTAGAGTTAACCATGGCAGGGCTGGGGAAATAGTGGTAGAGTGCTTGCTTTGCAAGCACAAGGCCCTAGGTTCAATCCCCAGCACCACATACCCCCGCCCCGCCCCCCCCCCAAAAAAAAAAAACCACCAAGGCAGCTTGCTTCCAATTCCCCATTCCAGCATAAGGCCTCCAGGGGCCCTGGGAGTTGGAGGCAGCTGATTCCCACACTGGAGACCCCTGGGCTAAATTAGAAGGGAGGCTGCAAGCACTGAGACTCCTTGGCGTCAATATTGCAAGACAAGGCCTACTCCTCATGTACAAGATCATGCAACTGCTGAAAACTACCCACTGTTGAATAGGCTTACGGTTGGGGGCTTTGTCTGATAGCCACAGCTCAAAACTGATGGACACACACTTGTGCAGGGAAAATGAAATCCAACAACCAATAGCTATTGGCCCAGACCCCTCAGGCTCACCTCCTCTGCACTGGCTTTTACTCAGGCTGGTGCAGTACGGGGCTCAGGACCCACACTGAAGCCTGTCAGCCCTCAGTTAAGATTAAAACCGAGTGTGAGAACAGTCAACTCAGCATGAAGAGATGGGAGTCACTGATGCAGCAGGACTTTTGGATCAGTGCTGTTGCAAACATGACATAGGGCATACACTGGGTAAACTGTCCATTCTTTTAGGAAAAAACTTGATTAAACAGGACTCTGAACGGATTAGAAATCCATCCTCTGACAAAGGCTTTACTGACAACTTTCCATACAGTTAGTCAAAAAATAAAAAAATACAGAATACAGCAGACAGTATCTTGTACACTATAAGTCGATGTAACAGAGTCCCTTCTCATAGTTGTTTTTTTAAAAAAAATCCCACCCCCCCCAAATCTAAGAACTTAGTTTTAGTGGTGGACAGAACTTTGTTCCCCTTCAAATAAACCAAAATAACCCAGCAGAGAATTCAAACCAAGGGAGTAGGGTTGAGAAGGGATCAGATTTTAAAATAACTGCTTTTGTGACACAAACATGGAGCTGGAAAAGACAGGTTTGGGCTAGGCAGAGTCTCTCACTATAACTATCACCATGTGCTCTTCTTCTAGCTTGCCCAATGTCCTCAGTGCTGACTGGAGGTACTGCTGTGAAAAGTCGCAGGGAGGGAAGGCATAGAGCATGCCTGTGCTGTCTCTGCCCTTGGATCCACCCACTGGCAGGCTGATCACCCCTGCAGCCTGCTTCTGTTTCAAGTAGGAGACCAGGTTCCTGAGAAGCCGCCTCTGTAGGCCTGGCTCCACGGTGGGCATCCCCTCAGTGCCAGGCCCACTAAGGGTTGCCTGGGTGGCTAGGAGCACTGCATAGCCATTGGGGCTCCCCTGTTTGATGCGACGCGTGACCTCGTCCAACTTAGGCTGGTCCAGTCGAAGGCGCTGGGCAATCTTGAGTTGAGTCAGCTTGCTCCCGGAAGAGTGGTCTTTGAGGAGACCACTGATAACTCCCTGGTCCCCCTCCAGGATGTGCATAGATGTTGGAAAGCAGCTGTTTTTCAACACTAGAAGCCCATTCCAACCTAGCTGCAGTGTCTGAGCATACTCTGAAAGAGTCTTTAGTTTTTTGGTCTCATGTTTTGGCTCTTCAAGAGGCTTGGTCTCGGCCTCAGTGGTCCGATGATTGCGGTCGCTCTCTCTTGTCTTCTTCCCGTGAGAAGAGTCTGGGGCTTCATGGTGGTGGTGGTGATGGCCCCGCTCTTCAGCTCCGTGTCTGCTGTTGCTAAGGGAGTTGCTACCGGATTCCTTGGTCCCTTCACTGGAGTGGTTCTCCTTGCGGCTGCGCTCAGGGGTGCGGTCTGAGCCACGTTCAGACTGCTGCCCACCACCCTTGGTCCTGCTCCGTTCCTCATAAGGAGAGTGGGTTGTCCTTCCACGGTCACTGGAAAGGCTCCTCCGCTTGCGCCTCTCTTCCCAGGGCTTCGGCATGCCCCGGTCACCATCTCCCCCCCAGCGTTCACCACTACGGCTGCGCACAGAGCGGCTATAACCTTCCAGGCTGTTTCTGCGATCAGAACTTTTACTGGGACTGGTCCAGTCCCCTTCCAAAAAGGTCCGGTCTCGGTCTGAGTATAGAAGGTGTGGGGGGGTCCTGTCCCGCACCCTCAGGTCCGCATCCAGGTTGCGGTGCCTGGTATATCCATCAGTGAGAAGCTCATAATGCACAGGGAGGGGTGAGGGCTGGTACTGCTGGGGATAACGAGTTTCCTCTGCTTTGGCAAAATCCACCCGCAGCCTACGGTCTGGACCACCCAATGGAAAGCCCCTCATTTTAGCACAGGCGGCCTGGGCTGCGTCCAGGCTCTCATACTGGATGTAGGCAAAGCTGTCTCCTTTGACATGATCAATGGTCCGAATGCTTCCAAAGCGATCAAACTCCCGGGCCAAAGCTGCCAGCGAGGTGTTAGGTCCCAGGCCACCCACCCACAGGCGAGTAGTGGGGTTGGCCTTGCCATAGCCTATCTTTATGGGGTTTCTGCCAATCACCCGGCCCGACATGGCCACCTTAGCCCTGTGGGCCATGTCCAGGTTCTGGAACTTAAGAAAGGCGTAAGCACCACCCTGACCACGGGCAGGCCTTTTGATGACCACCTCCTCAATAATGCCATACTTCTCAAAGGCCCGTCGCAGCTCCACCTCAGACACGCTGTGGTCCAGGTTCCCGATAAAGAGATTTCTAGTGGCCCGCTGGTCGTCCTCGGGCATCAGGTCCTCCTCACACACTGCCGGGTAGCCGTAGGGGCGCCCGCGGTCATCATACAGTCCGTAGTAGTCCAGGGCCCGCTCCCGGGATAGACCCACAGCAGCGGCGGCGGCAGCATCCAGGGCGAAGGCTGCAGCAGCGTGGCGGGCACGGGGTTCCCGCAGGGGCGGGGCGGCTACCGGGGACAGTGAGCGCTGTTTGTATTGATAGCCTCCATGGAGCGGCAAGTAGCCGAGCGGGTCGGCGGGCGCTGGCGGCCCAGGGGGTGGCGTGGAGGCAGCAGCGCTGCTGCTGCTGCTTCGCCGGCTGCTCCCGCCACCGCCGCCGCCCCCACCCCCGCGCAGGTACACCGGCTCTACCTTGAGCGGGCGGTCGTACAGCAGCAGCTGGCGGGCCAGGGCGTGCTGGCGGGCCTCGCGTGCGTCCTGCGGGTGCCGGAAGTTCACGTAGGCCACGCGGCCCAGCTCTGGAGTGTGCGACAGGCGTAGGCTGATCTCGCCAAAGCGCTTGAACTGGTGGAAGAGCCGGTCCTCCAGGTGCTCGGCAGGCAGCGCGGGACTCAGGCTGCTGATGAGTAGCGTCTTGTACTCCGGTGCGGCCGTAGAGCCGGGACCCGCAGGTTCAGCCCCGGGAGGCGGTGGGGGCGGCGGCAGTGGAGACGCGCGGGGCGACGCGCCCGAGGCGCCCGGGTCCCCCGGGGCCTTGCCGCCGCGTCCCCCACCGCCGGCGCCAGAGCTTGAGGAGCGCCCGCTGCTCGCACGGTGATTAGCGTCGCCGGCGCCCCGGCCGTCGCGATGCCCTCCTCCTCCTCCTCCGCCGCCGCCGCTGCCGCCGCTACCGCGGGGTTTGTCGCGGGCTCGCACTGGAACAGGGTGCTTGGTGCCGCCGCCGGAGGCCTTGTGCGCCGCTCGCCGCCCGCCCGCCTCCGCCTCCCGTTCGCGCTCCCGCGGCCGCTTTGCCGACGATGACGAGCCACGCCCGCTCGGGCTCGAGTCTCGCTCGCTCTGCCGCTTCATGGCGCCGGCGCGGCGGGCGGGCGGCCCGTAGGCCTTTCACAGTGGCGGCGGCAGCCGCGGCCCAGGAGGCAGCGCCCCCGGCGCCGCCATCTTGGACAAAAGGACTCGGCGCGGCTGTGGCGGCGGGGCGGGGCGGGAGCGGCGCCGAGGGGCTGGGCGTTGCGTTGTCAGGCTGCGCCGGACTTACCACGTGACTTCTGTGGGCGGGGAGAGGGCTACTCTGGGCGTCCGTCATCGGGTTGCGCCGCCTTGTGCCACGTGATCTCCTTGCGAGAAAAGGAGTGGGTCGGACAGCGCGCCTTGGCGCCACCTCGCGGCCCCAGTGGACTGGGCCTTGTGCTTTCAGTCTAGTTTTAGGTGCTCCGGATCTGGCTAACTTCTTCTACGGGTGCTGGAACCAGTGCTGATTGTCCATGGGTGTCAAAATCCGGGATCTTGACCCAGCGGGTTTTTTATGTATATTTTTCCTATCCCCTGCCATGTTGTCTTCTGACTGGGGCCCAGAGTTGACATTCCTGATCCCTGTCCAAAACCCACATCTCCAGCATTCTCTGCATTCAGGTAGTAGTCCTGGAAAGGCCTTGAGAATCGTGGCTATGAACGCAGTGAGACCTGGCTGGGTCTGGTTCAGGCACTGGGATAACGCACCTGCAGTTTAGTCAGAATAAGCTCCTTTGTGCCACTAGGTCCAACCTTCTGCTGTGGGCATCTGGGCAGCCAAGTTGGAAAGGCAGGGCTGTGGCGCCAGGGGCAAAGGAAGCCAGAAGTTGATGATGCCAGTAGTTAACCATTGCTTGCCATGCTGATCTCAGTGGCCAGTACTTTGTTCACCCCCGGGAGGGGAGGGGTGGGGTGGGCCAGGGTGCTCCAAGCATAGTTGGTGGAACCATTGCAGACCTGTAGGATGAGGAAGAGCACACCCAGCTCTTTCCTCCTATAATCAGAAAACATTTCAGCAGATACAATAGGAAAGGTCTTGGAAGAGACAGCAGTGAGCTCCATGGGCAAGCTGTTAAGGTGGCCCTTTAGCAACAGAAAACTTAGCAAACACACAGATGAAGTGATCTGAGGGTAAAGACCAGCTGAGGAAACTTCTTTTCAGGTGGTTTCTGTGGGTGGGAAGAGCAAGTGTCTCAATTGAGCCACAATTCTTGTTGATAACCAGAGAGCAGCTAGACACCAGATTCCCCATAAGCCCTAAGGACCTCCACTGTTATCTAGGGTACACAAAGGCAAAATGCAGCTTTTCATGGCTTATTTGTATAAACCAGTGCAGCAAAACTCCAAGTAGGTGTCAGAGGGTAGTACTAACATTAGACCTAGACCACAAATCTTGATGAGCAAATAAGAGGTCAAAGAGCTGAAGTTTTAGAAATGCCAATACTGAATACATGGGTATCACTGTGGAAAACCACACTCCTATTCTGCTTGTACGGAGTCCTCCCAAGTACTTTAGACTCAACTTTGTACTAAGGAACTGTGCAGCTTCTAGCCTCTCCTACTGACAGGAGTTGGGGGTGTCAAATCGCCAACATCAGGCTGAGGTGCCTGATAACCCTCCAGTCCTCCAAAACCCACTCACATCAGCTGGTTTCAGCCCGTGTGACCTGCCCTGGTATTTTCAGCACTGGTGGGCTGAGGGACAGAATGGGATATACCCCAAAACTCTTTGCAAACTGGAAAGCATCATCTGGTAGGATCCTCATTTTGGGGCGATATCTTATTTCAGAAGTCACTTTATCGCTCCAAAGACAGCTAAAAAAAATTTTTTTTTTTCCTTTAATAAAAAAATCCCAGACACACTTTGAAGTCCTAGAGTAAACCATCAATAGAAGGAAGTGAATCCCCCCACGGGGGCACTGTAGAGCCAGCATCATCAGGAAAGCTCCAAGCTTCAATCTGATATTGTCAGGAGCCCACTTAAAAAATAAATTACAAAAAAGGCCGTTTGGGACGCTACAGCTGAACTGTTTTTTTCCCCTCAGGTGCAGCAGGGATGGGGCAGACTACAAATCAGTCCGAGCACTGGCTGCCTTGGGGGCATATTTAGGCATCAGTTCATTTATCTTCCGGATGTAGTCAGACTTTTCTGCACACCCTTTGCAAGTCTCCCCCCAGTCATCCAGGATCTTCTTCAGCTCTTTCACTCGGAGCTTCTTCAGGTCCACTGTGCTCAAGTCGATTTGCTTGTCTGCAATGGAGAGTAGGGAGAGTTAATGGCTGAGTGGGAGCACCCATACTCCTCAAATGTCCCATGACCCCCTGCATGTCAAACCATCCCTTAGAACAACCAGCCCTGGGCAGCAGGGGAAAGACATCTATAGATGTATGAAGAAGTGTCAGTACCTACTGCCCCAAGAGGGAACTGACCCCTTTATTAGGAGAGCTGTCTCAGACTATGAGTGTCATATACTATCAGACATGCAGTATGAAGAGGCCATACGGTCTTTAGAGGAGAAACACCACTCCCATCCTCTAAGTGCCTCTTGCACAGTCATTAGTGAATGATACCTCTAGGTTGGTGACACAGCAGATAGATCCCCTAGTCTCCATTCATAAACACAGACCTGGAGTCAGGGGTTTACTCTATGACCAGAGTGACATGGAACCAGCCAGATGGCCCTGTTATCAGGATCATTGAGAAAACAAAGCACCCTTGACAAGTGAATAAACTTAGTCACTTGGACATTTGAGGCATAATAAAAACACTTGTGTTTAAATTTTGCCGAAGAGGTCCTCATTCTTTCTAAAGATTGGGATTGTGTTTTGGCCACCAGAGGTGGTCTCAGCCAGAGATGCTATGGCTCCTGACACTCTTGGGCTAAAAGGTCTTTAGAAGTTGCAGTAATAACCAACTTGCTAAACACAAGTAAGATCACATTCCTTCTCTGCTCAAAACTTCTAATGCGCCTAACTTCACTCAGGCTAAAACCAAAGTCCTCACCAATATGCAAGGCCCCTGTGACCTGCCTTTCTACCTGTCATGCCATTGTCTGCCTTTAGACGTCCTACTTTCTCTGCATGTAATGTTCTTCTAGTAGCTAGCCTTTTCGCTAATGCCTGCCTCCTCCAAAGTTTGCTGACATGACACCTCCTCAATGGGACCTACTCTGACCTTCACCCACTTTGATACTTCCCCATCCCATCACTGAGTGCCATCTATGCTATATACCTGACTCACTATGGCTCTAGATCACTACCTTTCATTCCAAGGTAGAAATTAAGCTCAGAGGTGCACAGCATTTGTTGAAAAAGGTCTGGTCATACTCACCATACTTTAGCTCACAGATCTGGCTATCCTTCTTCTTTAGCTTCTCACATATCTTCTCCACAGGGATGTGGTGGGCCAGGGGCTTGGATACCTCATTGATGATCTTGGTGGCTGCATCATCTGTGGCCCCTATGTAGTAACACTACAGCAAGAAAGGACAACAGTCTTCAGGGATGGCACTTAACATTTCTCTCTGTCAGAGCCTCATTTGGGGTCTTAACATATGCTCGGTCTCAACTAAAAGCCACCAGATGAATTCAGAAGTCACCAGGGTTCAAAACTTTAATAGAGAAAAACAAACCAGAGACTGCCACAGAGATTAAAGATAAAAAAGCCACTGCTCCATGGGGCTCTTGTCCTTGAAGCAGTCCTGGCCCACTCTGCAGGTATCCTGTTAACTTCTGTCCTCACACATACCATGCTCTTTCAAGCCTCAACACTCACACTGGCAGTCTCCTCTGCCTGGGATGATTCTACTCCACTTTGATGATGACCCTTCCCTCATTGATTGTTCTATCTAATCAGCATCCTCCCATCACTGAATGATCCTGGTCTCTCTTCTACATGATACCCATTTGCTGCACTGTTTGTCTATTAGTCATTTTTCTACCCTGATGTGCCTACCTCACAGTAACTGCTTAATAAATACTAATAAGATAAAAATATTACGCCTGAAAAATACATGCCACTTGGGTGAGGTCAAAGGCACTTCACTCCCACATTAGTTTTCAGACAGAATAGCTGGCCCACAGTGAAGTGGAAGATAAACACGAGCCAGGGCCAGCAGAGAAGGGTCACCAGCTACTCACCAACCGATTCTCTTTGCCTCTTGCTTCACGGCAGAACTTTATAAGTTCTTTTTCAATAGTGGCTGGTGAGAATGTGACATCTCTATCTTTGAGGTCCTGGTAAAATCTTCCCAGAAAAGAAATACAAACTGGAAAAGAGAGGGAAGGGAGATGCTCAGCAATCACCAAATCGTCTCCCCATTCCAACATGAAGAAACTCTTACAGGACACACAGACACACATCATTAAGAGGTCTTTCCATCACTGTTTTTCTCTCAGGTACCCACAGGTGGACAGAACCCTGCTTCATGTTGCTGGGGTTTCTTTGTACACTCAGAGCATGCGAGAAACAAGCATCACACCCAGTGACCCACAAATGATTCTTCCCTGCTCCTTTCATCAAGTTAAGCCGAAAGTGAACACGTGTCCTTGAGACGGGGCTCACTATGACCTCATAAATGGATAGACTGGAGGCTGAAGAGAAACAAACAAAATGCAGCTCTTTTCCACGTACACCACCAAAACCCGAGGTGCAGTTTCGCAAGGCCAACAGATTGGCGCGGTACAGAGGACCGGCCTTTGGGGTTTTAGACCCGGGACGCTCCTGGGAATCTCTGAACAACAATGGGAAGGGACAAAAACTCCGACGTGATGTGGACTTCAGGCCAATTTCTTTGTACGAGCTAGTCTCCACTTGTTTTCATCCGACCAGTGTTTTCTAGGCCTGGGAAATATTTTCTAGGCCTTTCCTCTGGTGGACCCCGCTGGGACCAGCCACCGTCGCCCCCGCCCGCTCGATAATTTGTTGGGTTCAACGCCGTCGCGAAGCCGATCATTGTGTGCAGACCCCGGCCCCCCGCACCTTCGCAGTCGCCTGGCCGCAGCGCCCCGCTGCCTGGCAGTACGCTCAGGGCCAGCGCCACCGCCAGCCCGTGCGTAGCCCACATCCTCCTCCGCCGCTGCCGCCCGGACTGAACCGCACCCGCCGCGCTGCGCCGCCTTGGGGTACTTGCCGCACGCCGGAGCTTTCCATTGGCGGGCAGCCCCCGCGCCCTCCCACATGCCTCGTTCTCATTGGCCCACACGCCATAGAGCCCAGACGGGCGGCTCCACGCTGCCCTTCCCCATTGGCTGGTGGTGTCTTGGCCCTAGACAGTTGTCGGCTTCCGATTGAACCTCAGCGGTCCACAGGAAGTAGCTGCGGCCGCCTCGGAAGCTGCATGGGCAGCCATATTGGATAGGGGCAGCTACCTTAGCTGTTGCTGGAGCTGTGGGCGGAAGTAGGATCTGGCTGCCTCCCAGCGTCATACTAAATTGTCCTGCATTTCACTTGTACTTGTCCCCACGCCCGCCGGAGAAACCCTGCGGATCTCCCTAACAGGAGCCCGGACTCGTGGTGCAGGGTCAGGAGTTCTAGGGTCAGCTGAGACTCAATAGATCAAGTAGGGTTGAACAGCCGCAGACAAGACAAATTTATTTTTCCCTTCTTGTTTTGAACAGTCACGTGGGTGAGGGAGCCAACCTCTGGGAGTCCGCTGAGGCTCAGGCACCCGCCTGCCCGCCCCAGCTGGCTGAAACCTGCCTTGTCCAGGGTGGGACGGACTGTAGGTTCCCCCTGGAGGAAGGGCTCCGAGCCCATCAACCCCGGCTCATCCCGAGGCTTTGGTGTCGCCTCAGTGTGGTGGCTGCGGGGCTTAGGAGGTTTGTCCTCCACTTTTGGAAGCGATATTTCCTCTGGGGAAATTTCCTCACAAGCTCCCGACGCATGCTTGAGCACGCTGGCCCGCCTGCTTTCCAGCTGAGCCATCAAGGCCCTTGGCTATCGAGCTACTTCCCGAGTGGGGTCCCGTGGGTCGACTGACAAGCACCAGAGGATGTGTCCTCCTGGGCTGCCCTGCTTCCAAGGCTTGGCTACCTGTCCTTGAAGGTAGGACGCGGTAAGGGCTGGCTCAGAGCTGAAAGGAGACATCTTTGGGGCTAAAGGGGCTTGGAGCCCAGCGGCAAGGGTTGGAGAGGGGCACTTGTGCTGCTCCCATTCAGTGAATTCAGTGGATCAGTATCAGGTATTCATCTTTAATTAACATCACAGCAGTCAAGGGAGTGGGAAAAGGGGGAAAAGTCAAAGTGGCAGTTATTTACATCTAAAATTCACATTACTTCTTGGATTTAGAACATGCTACCACAATATATACAGTAAAATACCTCTTGGGACACTGGTACAAATTTTTTTTTCTTTTAACTTTGCTTTTCTGGTACAGGTAAGATCATTTTTAAATCATTTTTTTCTTTAGACATAAATACACAAAAGAAATGGTTAGTAGTGTTCTTGTTTTAAATAAGCACAGAATGCCAGAGGTTAAAAACACATTTATAGGACTGATAACCAATTGGACATCACACTCTATACATTTTTTGCTCAAATTCCTGTACAAATACACAGCATTCAAATAAGTATTTACAAATAAGCTTGAAAGAATGAAAATCACTATTTCACAATCTTTTCAAAGAATTTTCATCTCTCATTTCCCATTTCCCCTCAGACTGGCTGACTCTCCAACAAAAAGGTTTCAGAATGTGTCCATTTCATCCAGTTAGGGAAAATGGAGAGGGAAAACACCAGTTTGTTTCACCTTCCATAAAGCAAGGCCAACAAACTTACACTTCTCTCCCAACATCCTGTGCCATCAAGTAGAGAAGGTAGATGTTCTGTGTGATGACTGCTTTATCCAGGAACTGAGGTTCTGAAGTGCCTGAAAATCTGATGTCCTCTTACCTTAGAATCAAATTCAAACCAAGTCCCTGACCATTTAACATTAATGATCCCCAGATGTCCCAGAGATTGAAGGCTGCAAGTGAGTCTAGGTTCAGGCCTCCCCTTTGAACTGTGGACTGCCTTGACTGACCCCCAACCTGGGCCAGCCTTCTGCTCCACTTGGCCTGGAGTAATCCTGATGGTATCAGAAAAGCCCCACACTGGTGTTAATGCCCAGATGCTATGAAGGTAACTGGGTCTTCTATCTTTCCCTATAGGTTACTTGCTGGCATTTCTGTTAAACAAGTTGGCACTTGTTTCCAAGAGAAAAACACCCTGACCATGGCATTTTCTGTTTGAAAAGAGGGGCTGAGGAGAATGAACGAGGACCTAGAACCCAGGACCTGGTCATGAAGGCCAGATAGGCCAGTAAAAGAGGAACTGGGGGTAACATGCCTTAACAAGGAGAAGGCAGTCTTGTGACCATCATAATGTGACCCAAGCAAATGAAAGAAAAAGTTTTGTCTCAAGACAGTTTTTGTTTTGTTTTTTAAGTAACTGAGAAGCACCCTGGTAAAATACTACTATACCCACCCCACCCTATCCACCCCCAGATAATACACTGAGAGGAAAATCAGTGCCCTGATCTGAAAGAGTTTACTATAAAGACAGCACTGTGGCCTGCCAAACAGACTGGGGAGGCTGGAGAAACTGTCTTCCTGCTTGCCCTGAACCCTGAGTGGTGGTCCCCATGGGCCTGGAGCAGGGGCGCTATACTTGGCCACTTAGGAGATGATGATTTCTACCTGTATGGTTCTCTGCTTCCACAAGGAGAAGTTCCTTTCCACCTTTTTTACACAGAAGCTTGCTGAACCTGACCACATGTCCTCAGGGCCTGGAAGCCTGGCTGGGCAGCCAACCCCATGGCTCAGAGGTAGTGCTGAAAATCCCTGATTCAGGAGCTGGTGGCAAGCATTCTAGCCACTCTGAAAGCTCAGAGAATTTCTGGCCCCTGCCACACCCCAGCCTCACTCTTATTCCAGCTCTAACACATGGGAAAGGGCCTACCTCTAGGAGAAAGGTGGTTAGGGTAGTCCCTCTGGCTCTATTCCTTCACTCAGACCCCAGAGGGTGGGAGAAAACCCTTGCAGACCCATTCACCATGGAGCCTTCTGCAGGTCATGAAGGGTATCAAATGGAAGGGAGCAAATGATCAGAAATAAAATGATGGAGAGAAAAGTCCAAGGTGGTGTAGGAGTCAAGGCTGGCCCATGAAAACTGGCAGTGTGCCTTGGGCATGCAGGTAGGCCAGTCACATGCCTGAGCTGGCAAGTCAGCCTACCCATACCCTCAGTTTGCACACTCCTGGATGGAAGAGTGGGCAGGTGGGCAAGCATTTGTGCAAAATGGCTTGTGGCCCATTTGTCCACCTGTAACATGTAGTCCATGTGGTCCTTGCAATCCCTGAATGCAACCATTAACTTTTCTGTCCATACAGCAAAAGAAGAGGTCCCTAGTGCAATTTCCATTCTGTGCGTCTCTGCCCTGAAGGGAGGGCTGGGGCTTCTGCTCTTGGGCCCTGTGGTGCTGCAAAGCAATTCTGTGCAATATCTCCATATAGCTCCATACAGTCTGGAACTATAGGAGGAAGAAAGCATCTACTGCATAAAGAAAAAAAAAAGAAAAAAAAAAAGGAAAACCCATAGAAAATGGAAACATTAAAAAAAAAATGAAATAAAAAGAGAAGCCACAACTCTTCATGCTGCTGCGGCCTTTGAACATGGCAACACATGAGTTCACGGCAGTAGAACGGAGACTTGGGGTGGTGCTCTCTGGAGTGCCAAGCCCCTCTAACTCTCTGGGGGTGGGGGGAACTTGCTTTTCAGACCTGGAGTGGTTGGACAAGCTGTTCACTGAAGGTAGTATCATAGCTGCCGTCCTGCTCCTCACTGTTCCCCTCGGCCGTGCTCCCAGGCCATGCGGGCCTGTTCCTCCTTGGTGCTCCCAGGAGGCAATGAGGCCTTGCGGTGTAGGCCTCTTGGCCGCTCCGCCTCTTCACGCAGCAGCACACCCTCGTCGTGCTCCAGGGCTGGCAGCCTGGGATGGTAGGGCTTGGGTGGCAGTGCGGGTGGGTCCATGGGGTCCTGAGGGATGACACACCCAGGGGCTGAGTGACTCCGGCATGGCTGGGCCTTGAGGGAGTCCAGGACAGCGGACTCAGAGAGGCTGTAGTGGACAGGGAGGTAGGGCGGCTCAAGGTCTTCATCGCCATTCCAGGCCTGGCTTGGCATGGAGTCCATAGTGTCGGTTCGAGGTGGGGCCTCTGAGGAGTGCCCAAAGTTACTTTCACTCAAGGAGGACACACCACTGCTGGCACTGCCAGACAGTGTAGAGTTGCTGCCATCCAGACCTGATTGAGGGCTGGTAGGGGAGGCTGGGATGGGATGGAGAGGAGACTGTGCGAAGGAAAGGGTGGGCATGTTAGAATCCCTTGCTCTAGATGGCTAACTGGCCTACCATGTGGAGACCAAAGAGTCTGCTTATTAATGAACTTTGATTCTCCTCAACTAGGAGTTTCTTGTTCAGCAGCAACCCTGTCCCAACCCTTCCAGTGGTACCCCAGAATCACTATATTTCTGAAGGCCTAGAAATGGCCCTACTCTGGCTGCTGGGCATTGGTGTCCCCCTTCCCTGGGTCCCAGGCTGCTGTCTGTGGTCTGGGTTACTAACAAAAGGCTTGGTTATCAGACTACTTGAGGGAGGACAGAAAGAACCTTGGTGGGCCATGGACCAGATGAATTTATTCTGCTAAAATCTGTGATAACAGATTTAACTAACAGCAGGATTTAAGTTTTACTTTTTGGGGGTTTTCAATAAAGCTTTGGTGCCTGATGCTTCTTACTTTCATAGGTCACTAATTTAAGAAGCTCTATGCCCTACCAGAGGGACATTTATTTAGCTATTGTTCTATTGATATTGGCAGAGAGCACTTGTCTTTTAGTGCTCATTGCCCATACACTCTTGGTATCATGTTGTCTCCAAAGCCCTCTGATCTCCCTGTTCTCATTACATTGGTTGCAGGATGCACTGGTTACCTGCAGCTCAAGTATGGCTCTGGCTACCCCCAGCTTCTGCCAGTCTGAGCTCTCAGGGACAGTGAAGCAGAGGAGACCTCAGGTTCCTCTCATAGACCCAAAGATGATTCTACAGCAGATGAAATGGTGGGACTGTTGTTTCAATACATTACCTTGCGCAGGGTCCGGGCAGGGAGGGCTGGGGGAGTATCACCCAAAGGGTGATGGAAGGCGTCAAAATGTAAGGAGTAATGACCTGCGAAGGGAACAGAACCAGAACCTCATCAGGGGCCCCTGCTCAGGTTGCACACCAGCACCATCTTGCTGGGCCAACTGGACAGGTGTGGAAAGAGTTCCCTGGGGACCCCTCAGTATTGAGGGTGATGGGAAAACTTCTTTACATTGACGTTCTCCAAAACAGGCTGCTGGGATAAAAGAAACCTATTCACACAGGAGGCCAGGAAAGTTGAGTGCTTCAGAGCTCATAGAACAATAGGCTGCAGGCTGTAAGAGCTCTAGCCCACTGCTAGGTGATGACAGGCTGGTGAGCGGAGCACCTGGCAGAGTTGATTCCGTTGTCTTCTGCTTCCCTCATTGCCTTACTGAGCTAACCTGCTGGACTCCAAAACCTCACTGACCCCAGTGCCCAGCAGAATCCTTCCTGTGGAATGCATATTTTTTTCTTTGGTTGTGTTGACCCAGAGGATGGCCTATCTTCTCAGCCTGGACAGGTGTTGATCTGGTCTTGGAGCAGAGTCTGAGACCAGGATTACTTGGGGGACCCGCTGGAGGTCTTCTTACCATGCAGCAGGCTTCGGGGAGGCACTGGGGGGGCCAGGCTGTGCCCCATGTGGGCAGACAGGAAGGGCTGGGCCTCCCGGACTCCACTATCCAGGCTCCAGCTGCTGGGGGCTGCTGGCACCGCTGAAGGGTGGAAAGAGATGGTGTGAATGGAAGTTACTCCTTCAGCTACCCTCTGGGAGAAGCCCATCCTATAAGCCTGTGGATTCTCTGTGTGTGCACTGTGTATCCAAAACACATGGGAGTGGCATGCCAGCCCCTGGAACTAAAAAACACTGGCCAAGCAAGGCACAGTGGTTCACAGAAGTGGACTAAAGTTGCCTAAGAGGATGAAAACAGCTGATATCTGAAGAGTATTCAAGATGAGAAAAGCTGAGAGAAAGTGCAGTAAGGAGTGAACATCTGCAGTCTCTGGGATTTGCCAGAAGGGAAAGCAGAAGAGAACAGAAGAGCAGAACAGACTAGGCTGAAGAGACCAAGAAAATATGGAGAGTGCAGGCCCTAGAGCTCCATGCCAAAGTCAAGCTAGGGCATGTCTACTGTCCAGGCCCTGTGTGAAAAGTAGGGAGCAGGATGGGAGCCAGAGACTGCTTCCTTCCAGAGCTCCCAGAACATTCCCAAGGAGCACATAGGACCTGCTTCCCAAACTAGCCCTACAAGGGCATGTAGTGACATTCAAACTTTGACCCATCCCTGTTGCTCCTATTCCCACTGGTGGATTTGAGATGCACAAGAGGTTTTTCTAGGCAAGGAGAAGTGTTCAATGTACCTGTTGGAAGAAAGTATAAAGCTCAGGAACTACAGCCCATGCCCAACTGGACCTACTGCTTCCTGAGAGGATGGAAGGCTATGGAGCCCACAGAAGCTTTGGGGTGTATCTAGAGGCCCCTACATGCCATGGATGCAGAGTAGAGTGGGCCCTAGGCTAAGGAGAAATCCAGTGACATAATACTGGCTTGCCTCTTAGCCACAGTTGGGGTGAAAGACTTTGTAGGAGGGGAGAGGAGAGAAGCAATGGCTGAAACTTGAAGTCTAAGAGTGCCACTCTGCAGGTATGGGAGAGGACATATGAAACCAGGAAGCTGATTCATCCTAAAGAACAAATACCAGTAAGAAGAAATATGCCCTTTATCTGGATACTTTTGGACTATTAGTAGCAGGGAAGAGTAGGTCACAGTCTAGGTGCCTGGTCACTGGCTCTTTTCTGAGGCTGGGATAGCTAAAGGGAGCCTGAGGCACCTGGACTTGGGTTCTTCCAGTTCAGATACTGGGAAATTCCAAAGCCTGGAAGGGAAGGAACTGGAGTCTGGCTTTTGAGGAAAGTGGCCAAGAGGGGCGGGACCCATGGTAACGAGGGATAAGGGGATGAAATCCATCTTTCTTCTTTTTTTAGGGACTAACAGAGGCTTTTAGAAGAACACAGAGTAAAATTCCATTATCTAAACAGTTTCAGTTCTAAGGAGGACTGTTCAGTTGTTGCCTGGTGGCAGGAAGGAGGGGTGTGGCAACCATTGGGCAGAGGGTAGATGCTCAGCTGTTGCCATCAGGGAGGAAAGAATTCTAAATCTGATGAGCATCAAGTGGATTCCACCAGCAATCTCCTCAGAAAGCCTAAGCCACCCAAAGAAGAGGTCCATCTTTGCCCAGGCTCTTGCCAAGATGCAGCAGGAACTTCTTGGTCTTCAGTACTAACCACCATCCACCCCCCTCCCCGTACCCCCCCCCCCAAAAAAAAAAAAAAAAAAGAAAGAAAAGCACCATCTACATAAAAAGCCATAGATCTTGGGGGAAAAGCTTGGAGGTGGGTCTGAGGAGCTTCCCCAAAGGGATTCCAACAGCCCATGATCTCAGATGCACTCCTAGTTCCTGGAAGAATTGTTGGGATTGCAAAAGTTCACTTACAAGGACCTGAGGAAACTCAAGGGTAGGAAAGATATGGGGGGGGGAAGCTGGCAAGGATATAATGGTTTACAAAAGAGTGCCTTCCTGAGCTACTCCATGTGAATCAGAAGTCACCAAGCTGGGCTCTTAGCTTGAAGTTTGTGAACAGTGGGGACAAGAGACCTTTTTCATGCAGCAAAAGGCCAGTCATGCACTGGGGCTAAGATTGAATGACCTATCTTAGAAGAAAGGGAAATTCCCAGTATCTTGACCTCTTTTTCAGCATTAACAACTGTTCAGCACTGGACTGAGGTCCCCACAGCACAGCCCCTATCCCCAAAGTAGGCTTGCCTAGTATGGTATTTAATTGCTGGTGAAGAAAGATATCTGTAAGAGAAAGGTGGAGTCCTAAGGAGACTCAGGACCCTAACTGACAAGAGAATGGTGGCAAGTATGTACAGTTCCTGCCCTGGAGGATTCAGATGGAGACTTGCTAATGTGTTGCCACTGGGCAAATGTCTAATTTTCTGCCCACTAAGTGCTGACCTTGTAGTGTGAACATGCTTGTTTGGGGCTCAGCCTTTGTTCTGAGGCAACTCTTTGCCTCCCATACCTAGAATGGTCATGTGTAGCTTCTTGATGTAGTCTAGCCTGAGGTCTGAGTTGCTTCTGGGTCCAGCTGGTATAGTATCTTGGTCTGGCTATCAATACTCATGAGAGCCCTGAAGACCTGTTGGGGCTCTTGGCTAGTTCTGAGATTGCTCTGCATTTTAGGTGATGAAAAATCCTTGTGGTTTGTTGCCTCAAGGCCAGAAGGGGCACTTTGGTTTGGGTCATAGGTTCAGGAATCCAAGAACTGCATGTTTTCAGGATGTGCAGCCTTGAGGTAGGAAGGCATCTTCAGTAGGCACTTTGTGGCTGACCATCTGGCATCAATGCCCACCAGGTACTCAGGTTGTGGACCCAGTTAAAGAGAACACAGAGGTCTTTGTTCTCCTGTCCTGATGTGCAGGGGAGGAACAATGACAGTGGGGATAGTAGACAGCAGTTGGTGAACAGGTGCAATGACAACATGAATATAGCTTTGGAGGGCCAGATGGCAGGCCAATATAGGTGGGAAGTGAGTATGCCCTGAACTCCAACAGATGGATGAAGGAGGAGGAGAACCTATGTGAACAGGGCTGATATGGAGCCAGGATCTGGGTGGCTTTGTCCCCACTTAGTTTATTGCTCTGTGTTGAAATTAACTCAGTTATCTGGGGCTTCAGGCCAATGTAGTAGGGGTCAGAGGCTGTTGCCATTAGTTTGTAGAAGTAGAATGTAGGGTAAAATGCCCACAATCTAAATGGCTCAGTTCTAAGGAGGATTGCTCAGTCTTATCGTATGGTTGATGGCCTTGAAATGTAGATGGACTCACAGTAGCTGCTGACAGGGCTTTCCCTGGAGAAGTTTGTGTTTGGGAATTTCACTTTGCCATGGTATGTCCTTTCCACCTTTCCATTCCTCTTGGGAGTTCCCCCCCCCCCCACAAGCCTGTTTTGAGCTTCAAGGAGAGGGGTCCCTGAAGGCCCAAGTTGAGAGGGACCAAAGGGCCTGCTAAATTTTGGGGCTGGCTAGGAAGTGCCTAGGGAGGTCCCCCACACAATACCCAAATTTCCATAAAGCTAGACTTAGGACAGGTGGCAGCTGGAGCCTCTCTGAGGATGGGCCTTGGAAAGAAGCAGAGATACAAAGTGACATGATCTAAACCAGCTGTGGATTAAATAGTGAGCATAGTAATTGGTTAGCATTCTGGACAGATAGACACACTTGGGTGTTGGGGTGTGGCTCAGACCTGGCCCGTTGGTACTCAGGGACCAGAATCAAACACTCAAGATTGGGACAGATGTCGGGGAGCCCATGGAGGAAGAACAATACCTTTTTCAGCTACAGATAAATTGGGATCACTGCAGGGTTTGCAGGCTCCAACTACTTGCTGGAACAGGGCCCGTTGGAAGTTTGGTGGCTGAGGGAAGGAAGAAAAGAAAAAAGAAAAGTGGAAAACAGCCAGTTACATCTTGGGAAGCATGGACTATAGGAGCCAGGAGGTTCCAAGATCAGATGGGGACATCAAAGCAATGGGATGGCTTCTGTTTGAGATGCTCTGAGAACTCCATGCCAGCCCTGGGGAATACTGTCCAGGGGTGTCTGGTTCTGAGCACTCCCATGGACATTTGAGTCACTACCCAGGTTGTCTTGTACAGGCTCTATGAAATAGGACATAGGTATTTAACTATCTGCATCCTTTTGTCTGGCCAGGGAGGCCCACTGGTAGGATTTAAGGATCCTGCTTCCCTCAGGAGACTGACAGGTTATGCCTTCTGAAGAGGCCCCACAGAGCTCCATGTTAGCATTGAGGTTAGAGAAAAGGTACCACCCAAGCCTGGAGTTAGATAGGCTCTGCTGTTCTGACTGGGTCTGCCAACCAAATCTGTTCTCTCTGCTTTATAGGGCTAATCAGGCACAGGGAAAGTAATGTTGAGAAACTCTTGGCATTCTGGGGCCAGGTGATAATCACTTGGAGGTGACTTATGAACTTGGATAGAAGGGTAGGGGGCAGACTGCACAGGGGAGTGAGTTAATTGCTGCAGCTTCTTGGTCCAGGCCCCCAGGCAGGATGTTTGGAGAGCTGGATGAATGGTGTGCACAGGCATCCTAGCAGGTGGTGAGAGTGGATAGATAAGAGGCCCTTGCCCCTGTGAGGATTCCCCTGCACACCCAAAGGGAGGAAGGACATCCTAGCAAGCTGGCCAGAAATACAGATAACCACACAAGCAATACTGGTTCCAACCCTGATGACATTCTACCCATACCTGCATTCTGGATTGCTGGTACTAGAATTTATTCATACTACATTCTTCATCCAGGAGTAAAGCAGCCTTCTTATAGCAGGATGAGGGAGGCATTCAGGACAATGTGGAAAGCCCAGCAAATGCAATGAGGGGAGTCCAAGCCAATACATTTATGGTTTCAGAAGGCAGTTAGTAGGTTGGGTCTGCTACCTGTCCATTCTCCAGGATGGCTGCTGGATACATGGCACTGCTTGGGCGGTCCCGGTGCGTGGGCAACAGCAACATCATTTCCCGGGCGTGGCGGTACTTATCTGGCAGAGAGGGAGAGCCTGTAACCAAGTGAGAACAATCACGCACAGATGACAAACCACAGATGAAGGGCCCTGCAGTCAAACATCCTCAGGACTGGGGGATCAGGGTAGGTGTTACTTGCAGTTGGGGTGAGCTAAGCAAATACAAGAGGAATGAAGTGGAATCTGGTGGTTAGATGGTGGGGGCTGTACCTGGTATTCCAGCCAAGGCAGACCCACTGACAGAGCCCCTTTGAACACTCAAAGGCAAAGGGTGAGGAGAGTTGAGGACTAGAGCAGATGGGTAGGGGCCCCTTGTATCCATTGCTCTCAAGGCATGGTTGTGGCCTGTATGCTGGGCTCTTTCAGGGGGCCCAGGCATGGGTACAGGTCAGCTTGAAATGGAGCCATCACACAGAGACAGAGACACTTAGATAATAGCCACATAGTTCTGATTTGACATAGTGGGTCTCCCCATGCACTTACCTTCTCCTGATAGTAGTGGCCCTATTCTTAGCTGGCCACTGGCCACTTTTTCTCAGGGGCTTGTCCCTCCCAGATTCCAGGTCCCCAGAACCTGGCTTTTGCCTTCCTGTTAGTTCTATTGAAGCCTAGAGCCAGGATGGTTGGGGGAACAAAATTAATCTGGAAGTTATGGGGCTTTACCCTAGGTTCCCAAGTACATGTTCTATGAAGGCTCTGCAGTGACCTCCCCTGGCCCCAGGGGATATTGTGGCCAGACAACACCATGTAAGGTGTGAGCCAGTCCCTATGAATTCAGGCCATAGGTATAGGTTGAGGAATTTGCCAACCTGTGGTCCTCAGGAAGACCTTCCACAGAAGCAGAAAGAATAACTTGCTGGCTTTCCTGGGATATGGGTAATTTGGATAGCACTCCAAATGTGCACTGTTCATTGTGCCACACACCAGCATATCTATTGAGAAGCTAAGGGGCACTGATTCCATCATGGGAAGGTCACCTGGACCCCAATGCCTCTGGCTGGCTCAAGTGAAACCCTTCTTTGTGTTGTGCCCTGAGAAGCTGGACAGTTGATAGCCCACAGGCTCTAGGTGAATTTTCAGCTTCTAGATGCTCTGTCCCCCAAACACAGGGTCTCTTGGATTTTCCTTTGAGTGTGCAATGTTAGCACTGTCAGGACAAAGCTAAAACAAAGTCGTATTCAGCCAACTTGCCCCAGAGTTGTTGAATTCATTTTAGTCCATGTTGAAGTTTAGTACTTGCAAGAAATCATCATAATCAATACCAATAAGGTACTTTTTGCCATAGTTTTTATGTAACTTCTTCCACAGTTTGGTCTGAGTGATCCTGTTTGTAGAACCTCAGGGCTAGCTTTGAGACCTACTCTTTAAAATGTCCTTCACTGGTAGGGGACTGAATATAGTAGAATTCTTTGAAAAATTGGGCCTGAATTTGCTACCATTTTGTGATTTTATTTATTTCTATGTTCTCTTTTAGAATTTGTATTCACAGACTACCTCAAGAAGATGGCTATGTAAAGAAAAAAGAAAAAAAAAACCCTTCAAATCCTACTAATTTTTAAAAGTACCTTTCCAGAAAGAAATCCAGAATGCTCCCTGACCCTGTGGGCTCATGGGATAGGACTGCCTTACATGTAGCAGGTACAAATTAAACAAAACCAAAAAACTCCAGAATCTTTACATCAATTCATTTACATCAAACTCCTATCTAATGCTCATTCCACAGCAGGAATGTATTGGAACTGCCTTCCAAAGGCTGTCCATGATTTTTCATTTGCATACTTAATATCCTGATCCATACTGTGGGGACTAGGATGGAGGGACATAAGTATGCAGACCCAGGAAAGTCCAGGCTCTGGTGAGGATTTGATTCACGTTATGATTTTATTCATGTAATTGGCTAATATTTGACTTGAGGATTTGGATTTGGCTCCCTCTAACAAGGGAGTGCTGTGTTAGCACTAACTTCTCCATCTCTTCTTTCCCACTGCCCTGGGCAGCCAATTCCATGGTAGGAGAGGGTGATGGTTATTTTCATGATGGAATTTAAATATAAGTGCTTATATGTTTATGGGACTTCTGAACTACTTCAGTTGTATTCTAAGAATCTGGAGGGAGTCTAGGATCCAGTGACTGAGTGATTGAGTTCTTCAAAGAAGGATCCATTACTCATAATCCTACTTTCTAGTCCCACTCAGTCTTTTGACCACCAGGGGGAGCTGCTGACTTACAAGAGTTTAGAGGATTCTTTGCAGGTCATTCATCTCAGGTTTCTAAAGCAACAGGGAGAACAGCAGGTTCAATGGGTATGGTCTCATGACTACTGGGAGTGGGGAAGTAACTCCAATGTAAAGGACTCTGCTCCAGACCACCTTCTCCATGAAAACTTTCTCCTCATTTACCCAAATGGAGTACATCACTCCCTTTGTCTAGGAATATCTATCACTGCATCTACCACATCTGTCTTCCTCTTTGATGTCATACACAGTCTTCTGTCTTTTACAGAGTCTAACACTGTGCCTGATGAGATATTGGGTCAACACATGGGTTGTATGAGTGTTGTGGTCTAGAAGTAACTTCTCTTTCTTGTTGCCTCTGCCCTTGCCATCTTTCCCTACTTTGGGCGCTAGTTTGTTACCAAAACTGGTGACCATTTCTCTTAAAATACTCTAAAATATGATATGGAATTTGACCCCCCTCCTTGGCATCTGATTTGGCTTTAGTGACTTGCTAGCTAACAGAAATGAGCAAAGAGAATTTCTAGGATTTCCAAGGCTAGGTAATAAAAATCCTTGCAGGTTCTATCTGGGTCTCTTGGAGTGCTGATTCTGGGGAAAATCAGCAGTCATGCTAAGAGAAGCCTAAGCCATTTGGAAAGGTCATATGTAGGAGCTCAAGTTGACAGCCCTAGTTAAGCTCCTCCCGACAGCTATCTGATCAACTGGTAGCCATTTAAGCGAACCATCTTGGACATCCAGCCCAATTGAGTCTTTAAATGATTCCAGTCCGAAGTAACATCTAATTCACTGAGCTGTTAACTCAGACATAGTAATAAATTGTTTTAAGACACTATGTTTTGTGTATGGTTTATTATGCAGTGACAGATAAATAGGCAATTTGAAATAGTGAAGAGTTATTTCCAAATAAGGAGAAAATAATTTCTATTCCACTCTTATGTAGTACTCTCTGAGGCAAGAGTCACACAGCCTCCTGACTGCGCACTCAGTAAAAGCTTTGAGTGAATAAATCAGTAACTAGTTAGCTAAGGACACAAGTGATGACAGTCTATTAAGTCCCTGATAGCAACCATAGCATAGAGGAGAGTCTGAGCAGTGTCAGAATGGAACTGAGCTAAAATGTCCATCCTTTACTGTCTTCTATCAATAATCAGGACTCAGAAATATGTTTTCTGTGAGAATAGCTAGATATGATGTACACTACAGTGTTCATGGCTACTTCTTAGGGGTTCCTTTTTTTTTAATTCCCAAAGTCATCTTTCAGTGTGTCCTTCTCCCAACCCCAGAGAGTTATATCGCCAGTCCTTTTTATTTTTTGTTTATCTTTATTTTGTTTATTTATTCTTATGTGGTGCTGAGGATCAAACTCAGTGCCTCCATGTGCAAGGCAAGCGCTCTGTCACTAAGCCACAACTTCAGCCCTCCTTTTTAGTTTTTATTTTGAGGCAGGGTCTCACTAAGTTGCTGAGGTGAGCTGCAAACTTGGGACATTCTGCCTCAACTTACTGAGCTGCTGGTATTATTGGTATATACCATTGTACCTGCTTGTGTCTTCTTCTTTTTTTTTTTTTTAAACTTTATTTATTTATTTTAGTTCTCGGCGGACACAACATCTTTGTTTGTATGTGGTGCTAAGGATCGAACCCGGGCCGCACGCATGCCAGGCGAGCACGCTACCGCTTGAGCCACATCCCCAGCCCCTGTCTTCTTCTTTTTAAAATATGTGTGTGTGTGTGTGTGTGTATAAAATATATATTTTAATTGTCAATGAACCTTTACTTTATTTATATGTGGTGTTGAGAAATTGAACCCAGTGTCTCACACATGCTAGGAAAGTACTCTTCCACTGATATAACCCCAGCCATTGTGTCTTTTTAACACAAATCACTGTTCCTTCTCTATGTCTGTAGCCTTCACAATCTGACAAATCATCAATATGTACCAATTTGTTGGTTTATTTGTCTTGCTTAACACTAGGGAGGTATGCTTCCAAATGCTAGCTCCCCTTGTTTGGATCACATAGTCCATGTTAGGAAGGCAATAGGCATGAGACTAAAGGCTGGTAAGTGTAAAGACCTGTACTCCAAATTCAGCTTTTCTCTCACTGGACCTGTTTCCCCACAGGGATGAGGGGTTGGACTGGATGGTTCAGAAGGAAGTCTGCAAGTGCCCTATTATAACTTTATTTCCCTTCTCTCCACTTTGATAAGGCTTTTCCCAATTCCACTACATCTTAACATGCCACACATGTTAAATTCCCTCTATCTTTCCTATTGTGTGCCTCATAGGTTTGTGTGCTTTGGAGAGATTCTTTCCTTATTAATGACCTTCCATGTCTTAAGTTTGTGCTATTTTTATTTGTATTCACAATAATGAGAAAAACAACAAGACCCCCCCCCCCCAAGCCTGGAAGCTATAGCCATTCACTTGCTTGTAATCTTAGACCATTGTCACTATTTTGTATAGTCACCCCTGAGAATCACTAGACCATTATATACTATAGTTGATGGCCATATCAATGCAAATGTTTCTTTCTAAAAGGACAGAATCAACTTTCACTGCAGAAACTAGGATCAAACTGTGAAAAACAATATTTATTCAACTGAATAAGAAATCAAGCAATAATTGGCAAAGATACTAGGTTTTTACAAAGCCATCTCTCCTGATTAAGCCCTTCCCAAGTGGAGAAAGTTCTTTTGGTGGTTATTACTGTTTTAGAATAACATTTTCCACTGTCAATTTTAGCCTTTTAATTTGACTCTTCATATTTTTTCATCTTGCTTGATTCCTCAAAACAAAATACCCATTTTTTGCCTTGACTTTGATCTTTATTCTTGCAAACATTTCAGTGAGAAAGAACTGAGCTTTCTCCTAGGCTGGGTCCTTTTACTGAGAGGGTTTCAATTCTGGCTACCCAGTGGCATGGTCTAAAGCGAGATGGAGAAAGAGATTTGGAGGCAGAAGCCCTTTACTCCTTGGTGCTGTAAGCACACATGAGCATTCTCTAAGTCACAGGTACAATTTCAGACAGTCACTGGCAAAAGAAGGATGAGTGGGGCCCATGAAACCCTCTCCTCTTCCTTCTGTAAGCAGCACCTTGCCATCCTTACCTCGGGTGCTGGAAGGGGCAGAGGTAATCATCTGGGAGGGTGCTGAGTGAGTAGAACTCAGGCTGGAGGATGAAGGGCTTGCCTGGGACGAGGACAGAACAGAGACGTTGGTGACTGAGCCCTGGTACCTGGGGTTGGGATATGTGAGCTGCAAAGGGAGAAAAATCAGCATGATAGAGTTCTGAATAACCAGGACTGTAGGGCTGACAGAGAGTTGGTTCTTTTATACCCTGAATAACCAGGCCCAGTGCCACCTGCTGTACCCTTGGCCCTGATGGAGGTCAGTCTGATGGCTGACACTAGGGATTGCCATACCACCTATGTGTAGCAGGGCTGCTGAGTTACTACTATTGTGCTCATCTGGTGTGCAGGACTTGGCTATCAGTAAGAAGCAGGAGAACAATCTGGCAGAGGATCTTTCCCCATGGGATTTGTGAAAGCATCCAATTCTGAAGCTGGTTTTCTTGGGAAATAAGGCCTAGGAACTGAGACTTGGAATGGTATGTAGAAAGAAGGCAATTTGCTAGCTCTGAAGATAGGTGTACTGAATTGAGTCAGAGAATTAAGCAGGGTTGCCAGCCCTCAGATCAGACCCCCAAATAGAAAGGTGAGTCCTATAGGCATATCCTGCCCATTCTCCTTGGATAGCTCTAGTACCTGCATGTGGTGGTACAGATCTTCAGGAGCGTCGCCCATGGAGCTGTCACCCATCATCACCATGTTTCCTGCTTCGCTAGACGCATGTGAGGAGAGAGAGGATGATGAATGGCGGCCTGTGCCCATCAAGTTCATGGGGCTGTGAGCAAGAGTGGGAAACAGGGAGGAATCAGGCTATGGCTGAGAAAATATGCTGGGTGGTAGGGGCAGTGGAGGAATGTGTGAAATGGGCATCGTCAGCCTTGGCCACCACTGGTTTGGGGCAGTTCCAGAGCCAATGTTCACACCCATCTGAGGCCTGGAATAATCCTAAGCCCCACTCTGCTGCTCGGGAGCCCCTGGTCCGGGAAGGCCTATGGGGCTGGCATAACCTCTATTTAGAGTTAAATGGTTTACAACTACTGGGTCTGATGACATTAGTGGTTTTTAAGGAAGAATTAAAGAGAGAGAAATGGAATCAACTCAAAAATCCTATCTCTCCCTTGCTGTGGGATGTTAGTCTAAGTCAGTGACTATCCCTGCTTCTAGGTTAGAGTTGTCTTCTTTGAATTGGGAAGCTATCAAAATAGATGGCTGTGAACTATCTGTGGGCTTCTTTCCATACCTGTGGCCATAGGCTTGCCAATAAATTTCCTCTATCAATACCAGGAAGCCCTTCATTCATTTGTTCCTTCTCATTTACATAGTGCTCAGTCGGCCATGTTGCTGTTCACCATGGAAAACAAATCTAAGTGAGAGACTCCTTTCTCTGACCTCTTCTCCCAAACCTGGCTTTCCTTCCTTAGGGAACCTGAATATCCTCAGTTGAGCAGAGTCAGGCCTGAACTTCTGACTTCTGGGCAGCCACACCTTCAATGTACACATCACCATGTTATCTTCTTCCTTAAAACAACCTATGATTCTTATTCCCCTTGGGATCAAGCCAAAAGCCTGCATGAACAAATCCCATTCAGAGTTGGGAGTTAGCCCCCTTCCACACTTTTGAATACTGCACTTGAGCCACCCCATTTTTTTTCTGCCTAATGAGCTTCTAATCATCCTTTAAGACTTTCCCTGATGCCTCCTCCTCTGGGTTTCTACAATAGCAGTTATATGTTTCTATCACCCAGGGAAGTAACTGGTTGGGTACAGAATGCAGATCCTGTGGCAGGAGCCGTGTCAGGGCTGTGTGAGAGTGTGTGTGTGTGTGTGTATGTGTGTACGAGGGAATGAAAGCACTCTCTGGAACTCCTTTCCTCTGATGCTCATCTTCCAGACTTACCTCTCTGGAGGGAACCCACCCCAGTCCTAAGGCCGTACCTGTGACGATGGGTCATCTTCATGTTCTCAGGACTCATGGGGCTATGGGATGCCAGAACATTTCCCCGTGGGGTGCTAGTGCCTGAACATGCAGGACTTAGCTTATCCAAACCTGGAAACTCCTGTTGAGAAATGAATGATGTTTCAGAGAATAAAGAATAAATAAATAAATATGGGGTAGTGGGGAAGAGCTGGCTGGTAGTCAAAAATGTAAAAGAAACAAAAATAATCTTATAGTGTACTGCTGACTTCTTTTGGGCAGTGATTCCTTTATGACTAAACTTTATGTCCCCAACTGCACTGAGACCCAGACCAGAGGTCATGAAACCCTACGCTGACCCCACTCAGAGAAGCTCATCTGGAATAGGCTGAAGTTAGTTTGCTCATAGGATTGTGTTAATGGCCTTTTAAAAATATTTTTTTTAAGTACAGAGTAAGCAGAAAAAAGGCTGGGAAGGAGAAGAAGAATTTATTATCAGTTATCAGTCAGTGGGAATGCATTTTATAAGGATTAGGGCTGGGTTTTATTAGATTGCTAAATGACTAGCTCTTAGTGACATGAGTTAAGCTGACCGTGACACAGTCTATTGGGAAACAGAAAACAAAGTCCTGATGTAAGTAATTGAAAAGCAAAAATAATTCTATTTTAGCATAATTAAATTCTTACTAATTGTGTAGATTTCTTGTAGAAACCTCTAATCTCAAACCCTCTTGGGTGATAGCATATTGGTCTGTGTCTCTATTTGCTACTTTATGAAACAAAGCACAACTTTTTAGATTTTCTTAAGTCCTAAATTTATGGTGGACAAGGGCTCTAAGTCCACTGAGGATGTTTCTGAGCTCAGTCTGAAGAAGTAGCAGGTTTCCCACATTCTTCTTTCAAAGTATACATAGGGCTGAAATGTGCTTCTGCAGCCCAAGAGTACACCTTCACATTTGCACACTTTAAACCTTGATGAGTGTGTGCAAACATTTTGTACTCTTTACTGTGGTGACCTACCTGCCCATGTGGCAGAGAACCTCACCCTACCATGGCCAGGCTCTCATCTAGATGGGGAAATCTGCAAACAGCAGAGACCAGCTAAGCTGGCAGGAGACAGTGTAATGAGTGGTGATGGAATACCCATCAGATACAGTGACTCTACTAAAGTTCTTTAAATGGATACCCCAATTTTAGGGGAAACATTAATTCTCTTAGTGTTTCACATTGTAACACGATGAGAGAATCCTAACAGGAAGGAGAAATTATAGGCACTCTAGGTTTTCCTTTGGAAAGTGTGCTTACCTTCTAAACTATGACAAGCTTATTTTTACCTTTCATGCTGCCCATATTTACACAGAAATAGACTGAGGCCTGTACTAGTACACTGGAGATACTAAAGTGACAAATTGCAGCAGTTAAGAACAAAGCAGGATAATTCCAAGCTAGTCAAGCCCATTGAGTCTGAGTGGTCCAACTTTCCCCAGTGACTCCTGTAGCCAGGAGTCACCCTTAAAGTGGCATTTCTTATCCATGACAGCCCGGCCCAGCATCTAATATCTCTACCTAGTCGCCTCCATCATACTTCTACTTGGTGGTCTTAGATATTAAGAGAGCTTTGCTTGGGAGGCAGATAGCAGGTAATTGGGATTATATCCCTTGAGATATGGGAACCAGGCAGGAGGCCTCTCTAGAGTCAGATCCATGACTGAGAATGGGGTGAGGGTATGATGTGAACAGGGAATTCAGGGACACCTGAACCCTATTTATAGCAGCAAGGATTCTCCAAAAGACCATCCAAGGAAAACTAGTCCTGGAATACATGTCCTCCCTCTGTATGTCAGTCCATGGGCCAAACCTTGCTACGGAGGCTGAGGAGCCAAGACAGAATTAGGGAGAACTTCTGGGTCCTGGTCTAGCCCTAGAACCTGTCTGGCTTCTCTAAAAGCAGCCAGCATGAAAGCGCTGGGTGCCAAAGCCTTTCTCTGATGTGAGTCTGGATCACTCGACATCATAGAGGAAGTTGGGATTGGAAGTTGGAAGGTCTAGATAGAGTAAGGAGGGAAGAAAAGAAAGGGAAAGGGAGATGGAGAAAGAAGATGAAGACAGGAAGGGAGAGAGGAGAAGAAAGTTTTGGAGAGAGGGCTGATTCAAGCCATGCCTTAACTCTTCAGGTTCTTGGAAGGAAAACATTTCTAAAGAGATCAGTACATGTGGGCCATATATGTTAGCTCTTTTCCTCTGCATATGGAAACTTCTATCCACCAGCACAGTGCAATGAAAAAGATTATTTGCCTTTGAAACTGACTCTATGGGATTGAGTGAATGAGAGGATTCTGAGCATCCTTGCCCTGGATATAGCACTCATCCGTGCCTCCTGCCCCTCTGAGGTGGAGACAGCTTCTCCCTCCTATCCTCTTTCAACCTCCCTCCATATTTCTTTGGCTGTGGCACAGGTCTAGAGGATATGGCACCTGGTTCTACTGAAGAAGGGGCAGGCCAGGGATCAGCTTACATGGTAGAGACTGGCCCGCATCATCTGGAACTGATCAATCAGCTTCTTGTGTAAAGGCCGCATTTCTGGGTGCACAAACTTCTCATGAACAGCTAGACCAACTCCAAGGATATGAACCTATGAGGGTGTCAAACAAGGTCTTTCTGTTAAGCAGGGAGAACCTCAGTCATCTTACAGTGCCTGGCCCTTCCCACCAGCTGTAGGCCTCTAAGTTCTGTAAGCCATACCTGCTCCTGCATGAGCTCCTTGAGTTGGGTGATCTTCTCAGCATCTCCTGGGTGCTTGGTAATATAATCTTTATCAAAAAAGGCCTGTGAAGTCAAAGGCCAGGTCAGGAAGACTTCCCAGGACTACTACCTAGATGGGGCCCCAGAGGCCTGACTCCAAAGGTGTCCTAAAAGGTAGCCAGGCTGCCACCTCACAGGTATATATATCAGAACCTCCAACCTAGCCTGTTGAAAACTCTGGCAATCAGAGATGTGTTTTTCTGCCTGAGAAGGACTGGAGATGGCTAAGTTATCTGAGCCTGAATGCTGGCCCTAGATCCTCATGGAACCTGGATGGCTTGGTTAGGACAGGTAGGACTGGTGGGTCCAGAAGTGGGGGCTAGCCTCTTAGCCATCTTACATTTCACTTTTCATGAAGGGTTGGCTTCTGGTATTCCCTTGGGAGGCCACTTAACATTCTTCCAAATCAGACAGATTATCCATCTGTCAGAGCTCAGGAAATAAAAATGGTAAAAAGGCTCTCCACCAGAGAGCTTTGCCACGGAAACAGAGTTTCCAGGAGGTTATAGCCTCGTTCTGAACCATCCCAAGTTTGTTGAGCCAGGAGAGGGCTAGCTGGGAAGGCTTCCTAAGGACTCTGCAATCTTGAGAAGAGAAGCCTGAAAACTGCCTTCTCAGTCAGGCTGCCTGTGTGGGTTTGGTGTAGGGCCCCAGCTTACCTCCTGGTAGCGTGCAATGCCTCCATTGACAGCTGCATCGATAACGCCATTCAGGCACATGCTGAGTAGGTTGATGTTGCCGTGTACCTGTTTGTGCTGATACTGGCTGATCAAGGCCCGAAGCTCTTGGTTCTTATTCTCAACCACCTGGATGGCATTTTCCAAAGGGCTTACTTCCACCTGGGGGCACACAGCACAATGTCCTTCCAAGAATTACAATAATCCCTCATCATGTACCTGAGAGTAGGGATCCATGACCTGTGATGCTGATTCCCCTTCCTTGATCCTGTGAACTTGGGACTCCCTGGGTCCTTTCTACTGTTATCTTTTGATTTATAGATACTTGGAAGTATAGCAAGTAGTGAAGTATAGCAAGTGGTGACTTGAACCATGGTTTCTGATCACCTCATGGCTGCATTTGCGCTGGAACTTCCTGTGCAAAGGTACAGGTCAAGATGGCTCAGTTGCTCTGGTGACACTGAAGAGGCTCTGTGCAAAAGTGCAGGGCTATATCAGTCAGGACTTGAGCTCAGGTACCAACTTCCAGGGATAGAGAATTCTGAGCATAACAAGATAACCCTAATGTCTTGCCAGTACTGCATCCTTCAGATTGCTTGCTTTGCTGAAACTTTCCCACAAATAACCTTTTGATGAAACCAATATAATAAATGTGCTGTACTAGCTCTGGGTCATCATCCTCCATCGAGGGTGATGTCCCACCTGGCTTCAGCTTTTTCTATGTGGGCCTGTCTTTTCTCAATCCCCCATTGCCCCTCACTGGTTTCCTGAATTAACAGCCTCAGTTAAAAGATGGGTTGTGGCAGTGAAGAGCACTAATTCTGAAATCAGAGAGCTCTGGCCTCCTGAACCTCAGAGAATGGTTTTCTCATTCGTAAATTGGGAAGTTAAAAATACTTGCTCTGAGGGATAATGTGTGGTTTAGATGAGAGAAGGTACACAAAGCTCCCAGCACAGGATTGACCTGGGGGAGCAAAGACCAGATAGGTGGATAAAGTTCTTTCTTTCTTCAATCCTTAGAGGAAGCTCCACAGAGCCAGGGCTGAAGAAGTAACTGTGAAGCTCAGGCCCATCAGAGGCAAATCTCACCAGTTCCCTCCTCTCTACTTCAAACCACCGAGAGATGCCAGGCAAGCTGTGGGTCAGGGTCAGCGTGGTGCGCTCAATCCACAGGCTCTGTAGGAAGGGTACAGACAGGTTTAGGCAGTTGGGCAAGGCTTGGCATTCCCTACCTACATGAGGGATGCAACAGTGGTGAGTTGCCAAGAAAATGGGGCTTTCCCCTGGATCTGCTATAAATACTGCCACTGCTTTCCTAGTTTGTTCACCTTGAATTCATTCTCCTTGTCCTTTGGGCCTTTGTGGAAAGGCCTGTCATACCGGAACTTCCTCACATTGTTGACGCGATAGAAGCTCTTGACACGATCTGGGACCCTATCCATCTGCAGAACATCCACATATTCTGGAATGGGTGTCACTGCATAGATCTGCAAGTCTGGGCATGAAGTTAAGGGAAAATCCAGACTTGTCAAAGAGACAGACTTGAGTGGTTCACCTCTGTCATATTGTCAAAGGACAGAAGGCCCAGGCAGCATCATCTCCTGGCAGCAGTGGTGGAGGCAGTATCATTTCAAGGGGCAGATTAAACCCATATACAGTTAGATAAATCTATCTTTCTGCCTTCTTTCCCTCCCTGCTCTTTCATTGAACCTCATGAGCACTTGGTGAATTGACCCCCAGGTCAATCCTGTGGCAAATGTGAGATAGCAAGAGTTAAGTATTCTCTGCTGCCCCTTTAAGAAAAAAGGGAGCCCATGTGATGGGCACACCTATAATCCCAGCTACTTGGGAGTTCGAGGCTAACCTCAACAACTTTGCAAGACCCTATTTCAAAATAAAAAATAAAAAGGACTGGGGGTGTGGCTTAGTGGTAAGTGCCCCGGGTTCAATCCCTAGCATCACACACACACACACACACAAAAAAAAAAAAGATGGGAAAGAGTTAGGAGAACACATACCCACCTCATGGGAGTAAGAGAAGGTTGTAAGGACCCAAGAAAACTATTTATTACAGAACAGCTTTTCAATAAAATACTGTCTGGAGTCTTTATGGAGAGAAAAGTGGGATTCTGCTTGCCCTCCCCATTCTGGAACAAGTTTTCCACAGTCATGGTGACTGTCATGTAAGGAAGCTGTTCAGCTCAGTGGGTGGTGAAAGGCCAGCCAATGTTTGGAATGAGACTTCTAAGGGCTACCAAAACACAGGAACTCCCTATATTTTCCCCTTCTCTACATCTCTAGCACTTTGTTCCACTCAAACTGACAAAGACCTGGGGCAATAATATTACCCAGGTAAGTGGAATGGGAGTAGGACATATAACAGATATGGTATCCCTGTGATAAAAGCCCTGGTGGGACCCCAATCACTCTGCATAGTAACTTGCTACCTGGGCAGGCCCCTCAGAACGTAGAATGGGGACTAAGGTACTGGTAGTCACAAGACTGAGAAGCATCCCCTTAACGCCCTGCTGATGACCACACATAATTAAGGGTATGCTACTCTTCTGTGAAGCAAGAGTGTCATATTAAGTAAGGGTTCAGTGATGAGGACACACACAGATTTAGGACTGGATGATCTAAGTAAGATTGGAAGCCATTCACATGGTAGAGGGGCAGGCTGACTGGATGGGTCTCACCTCCCAGGACCCTAGCCCTCCTCCCCCTACCAAGTGTCAAAAGATACACTGGGCATCACATTGTAGGATGGCATCATCTGGATGGTTGGGATGCTGCATGGCAACGGCTTGCGGGAACTCACTGAGCATCCTTTGCTGGAAGGCCTCCAGCCTCTCGTAGTCGTGGCCACGGCATACATATTCTTTGTTCTGTCAAACACATGAGAGCACATTCTGTGTCTTGCCTGGAGCCCCCAAACTCCAAACAGGAGTCAGTAGTAACTCATCTTACAAATGCATCCTAGGAACCTCCTCTGTACTAGGTTCTGTGGGGACAACACTCAGTTCATATCCTAAGGGAAATAATGGTGGAGGAGGTAGAGGGACAGATGAAGGGAGAATTGTGTTGTGGTGTGGCAGCCCTGGGGGTGGGTACAGGCAGCAGTGAGTTGTTTTCCTATGTGGAATTTCATATCTTACAGTGTCCTATAAATAAAGATTAAATTCTACTTAAAAAAAAAAAAACACTTCACTGGGCTCAGTGGTAGAGTGCTTGCCTAGCACACGTGAGGCCCTGGGTTCGATCCTCAGCACCACTTAAAAATGAAGCAAAGATATTGTATTTACCTACAACTAAAAAAAATAAAATAAATATTTAAAAAATTCACTAAAATAAGACTATGATAACTGTTCAACTGCTGTTACTAGGTCTGTGCTCAGTCATTTCTTCAACTCTGTTTAAATTCCAGCTCAGCCTTCTAGGAAATAGTGGAGAGAAAGCGTTACTATGATTGGGTCAGAGAATTGGCTGCATAGAACAGGCTTCCATATCTAAACTTAGTGCTCAGCAGTTCCCACAGGCCAGGAATGAAGTGGACCATCCTCTGTGTTCTTTCAAACCAACTGTTCTCTGTCCTAGCTGTATGAGGTACTGTGTAGCCAAGAGGAAAAACCACTATCTTTGATGACAAACCCCAAGAGGCAGGCCTTTTTGGTAGCTACATAATAATATAGCATATGAAAACAGAGTTGAAGGTGGCAGCCAGTCCAGTCAGATAAAGCCAAATGCCTTCTGTTAACCAGTCAGTTCTTTAGAAAGAAATATCCAGTAGAATAGGCAAAAAGGAAAAGAAAGAATACAAGTTTTAATTGAACTATGTGTATAACATAAGTTCTTATCACTACCTGAATGGACTTACCCGAAGAAAAAAAGGAAACTTCCGGCCATAGAAGCCGACCCGAAAGAATTCAGGCTCCAGGCGTTGCTGCTCCATAATGTTGTCATAGTAGCTAGCCTCCATTTTCTGTAAAAAAGAAGGGTGATTGCTTTCAGGTTGGCTTGACTGCTTTTGGTGTCCAAAGTAAGGTCTCCTAGGCCCAACTGGACATTGTCTTCTGGAAAGGAATTATGGTAGCCCAATCTAGGTGAGAAGGAACTGAGCCCTAGCCAACCTGTCTCCAGGGGGTTGCTTCATGGAAGAGGAAGTCCTCCTTCTTCATTGCCTTCTGATGGTGGGATGGAGACAGGTCTGTCTACTGCAGCCCTGTGAAGCTGCTCTGAATGTCCTCCCAGGGTGTGGGCTTAGCCCCATGGTCCCGTGAAGACTTGAGTGGCACACTTTTTTTTTCTTTAGTACTGAGGATTAAACCTGGGCCCTGTGCATGCTAGGCAAGTGCTATACCACTGACCTACATCGCCAATCCTTTAATTTTTTTTTTTTTAATTTTGAACTGGATGCAGTGGCACACACTTGTAATCTTAGCAAATCAGGGGGTTGAGGCAGGAAAATAATAAAGTAACCCCCCACTGGGTATTTAACTCAGTGGTGGAATGCCCCTGGATTTAATCCCAAGTATCTCAAAAAGAGTAGGCTGGCCTTGAATTTTTGATCCTCCTGACTCATCCTCTTGAGTAGCTGGGATTATAAGATGTACCATTACACCCAATTGAGGGGCACATATTTAATATGGACTTTTTCTGCCTAAGAATTTCTGGTTTTGATTGATACTATACCAGCTGACACCTGATGGGGGTTGCTTATAGCTGCCTACCAACAATTCTCAGTATCATTTGTTCCCATTATTCAAATTCCATCCATTCTTGTTCATCTATCATCTAACTAAAGATGCTAACAATAGTGAGGAAGGCTCAGTTGCCAGAATCCCTGGCACTGCTTCCAGTTTAGGAAATTTAAACTTGAAAAGTTTATGATAGCATTATCAAGGTTGGTAAGTTTTTTTTTTTTTTTTGTCTTGGCTGACTTGATTTTACATTAGAAGCCAACTTTGATTGGGAAGACAATTCTCCTGAATTCAATCAAGCCAGTCTGCCATGGAGCAGTGACCTTCAAAAATCAGTCAAGAAGTTACTTCTGGGGAACCATGCCCAAACTCCATCTGGACCAGGGAATAGAGGAGAGTTAGCCACAAGGGTGAGGGTACAGGGAAGAGTAAGCTGAGGACTGTTGACCTCTTTTTGCTGGTGAAATCAGTGGCTGTTAGGATTCAGAACCCAGCACCTGCAACCAGGAAAAACTTGGTGCAGACCTTCAAAGTCCATAGGACATCTGAGTTTCTTTTTGAATACTTTGCTTCAAAGAAGGGAGCAAGGACAGTATACAAAACTGACAAGTTAAATGGGGAAGCTCTTATAATAAAGTTTTTAGATGAAGCATCCTCCAACAAAAACATTTCAGGAAAAGCTTCTTCATACAGTTGAGCTGACACCCCCTCCTTAAAACTCCCACCCTATTGAGCCTATACTGGCCTCTCCCTTTCCTGAGTACCAGTGGCCCTTAAGGGGGCCAGATCACAACATCATTTGTCTGGTGTGTGTTCTGGTTTCCCAGTCAGACTGCAAGTATTTTGAGGGTATCATCATAGCCTCTACTTCTCCTGTACTGCCCAGAGCACTAAATCAAGGTCCTTATGCCTCACTCAGAAACTTATTTCAGGAAAGTCTAGGTACCTCCTTTTGGGCTGGGGTAGGGGAAAGGGCCAAAGCTCACCCGAATCCAGCTGAGGCTCTGATAATCATAGAGGCTTTCATACTGACATGCCAGTTCTCTGCACAGTGGAATCCCAAACTCCCAGCTCTGTATCAGAAATGGAAACAGGGCTTTAGTATTTCAGACATTAAACACATCAGACAATACAACAAAAGGTCTCCTGCTAGCTACAATTCATATATTACAAGGAGTATACACTTTAAAATCAAGGTGCAGAGCATGACAAATAAATGTGGCTTTCTAGCTCAAGCACAGCTTTCTGGTCTCTGCTAAATGTTTCTGCTTCCAGACCTTTTTCTGACTGCCTCATCAATGTACATTTTTCTGTACATTTCCATTTGATTGCTTTGAAGTTATCTTAATTTTTCGTTGTATTAGTCTTGATTAGATTATAAACTGCAAGAGGGAAGAAACCCTATTTAATTTATCCTTAGAGCCTAGAACAATGCCAGGCATATATCAGGGTTTACTAAAGGTTTAATAAGTTAATAAAGGGAACACAGAATTATAAAATAAGGTTAGTTACTTAAGCTCAGAAACAAGTAGGGAAACCAAGAAGAATGTAGCTACCCAAGGACTTGGTAGTAGGCCTGGGACTTCCTTTTTTAAATTAGGCTTCAGATGATCCTTGCCTAGTCAGATCCCAGGCTGTTTTGTAATGTGGCTCCTGCTGTGATTACAGGATCATCCAACAGATGCTTGAGGAAGGCTATAGCGGAATTCATTAAAAGGCAATATTGTTGATTTCTCTCACTTTTTTTTTAAATTTAGTATTTTCTCTTTCTAGGTTAGACTGGGAATCATCAATTTACTTGATATTTTACCCAGGCTTTTCTCCCTAACTTCTAAATACTAATTAAAATTTATTATAGGAAATTTCATGTATATAGAAGAGTAAAGAGCACAGAATAATGAACCATAGGTACCCGTCATCCATCCTCAATACTGATCAACTCAAGGTTGATCATGTATCAGTCACAGTCCATCTATTTACTCCCTCCCATAGTTTCTGAAGCCAGTCTCAGATATCATGTAACTCTACCAATAAAAGTATAATATGAATCTTTAAATAATGACTATTAAAAATACTCTTGGAATAGCCTTAGGAAGAAGGAAAAGTTTCATTTGAGGTTGTAGTTTTCTAAAAGAGCTGATTATTTCTATCCTTTGAAGCCATTAATTCCATATGGATTGAAACTGAAGGACCAATTAAAAATCCTGAAACAAACCCAAGAGAATTTTAAATAGACCCTGGCTTTCTGCCCTGATACAATGCCTCTGCCTCAGTGAGCCAGAAAACCTCTTGTACCACCATATCACAGCTTTCAAGGGGACACATGTCAGTCCTCCCTCAGCTCCAAGTGCTGCTTGGGCAGGTTGCAGCCAACAATTCATAATAGGGTCTTCCTGGCAGGCAGCTCCATAGGGGCTGGCTAAGAAACTGAGCTGTATATAGACTTCTGGCCAACCCATCAAGAGCCACTCCATGGGGGACTGCTCATTTAGGTGTTAAGGGCCCCAAATGGGACTAAAGGCACTTTTCCTGCTGATGGTAGGTCCCTATAAAACAGATATTTTCCATTTAATCAATGCACATCTGTCTTGTTGGTATCTCTGCCCTAAATTTTAAATTTATTCTTTTTAGTTCTATACAACACCAGGATACACCCTGATATAATCACAAAAGCAGGGAACACAACCTGCTCCAACTCAGTCCCTAGCACTCCCCTGCCCCACTTCCTCCCTCCACTCCACCCATCCCTCTTCAATCTATTTACAGTTTACTTTTTTTTTTTTTTTTTTTAATTAGAGTCTTGTGGATTCACTCAGTGCTCGGACGTTCATGCATACAAAACACTACAAAATTCAGTCAGATTCATTCTACTGTTCTTCCCTTTTCCTGTTCCTTCTTGGTCTTCCTCAATCCCTTTCATCTACTCTACTGATCTTTCCTCTATTTTGATGAAATTCCCTCTCCCCCCACCCTTTTTTCTCTCTCTCTTTTTAATCCCTGCCCCCTTGTTTTGGATTAGCTTTTGCATATCAGAGAAAACATTTGACCTTTGACTTTTGGGGACTGTCTGCCCTATTTTGTAACCTGCTATTCTAAGGTGCTTCCTTCCTGCAATTGGCTTCAGAGTGAGGCAGGACCAACTCACCACTCTGCCAGTCTTGAGGGGTGTGCTGAATCACTGATAGGTCTGGGAGCTTTTAGAGTTGCCTCTGTTTGCAGGCAGGGAATGTTTAGCAGGTACAATGCATCCTTATCTACATCTTTCCCTTGCTTTCTCTCCTTTAGGCAGGAGGCAAAGCTAACTCTAAAACCCCTTACTAATGCCTGAGACACAGTTGCATTTACCAGCTCTGGTAGATATGTGCCTTTACACATCCTTGTTAGCCCCTCAAAGAAATAGCATAAAAGTTGCACTAACCCAGGACATCCTCAAAAGTCAAATAGAACAGGAAGGGAAAGGCCAGGGTCTCAGTCTGGCATTCTTCAAAACTCAATACACATGGTATTAATCTTTTCTAAGGATAGAAATAATATACTCTTTTAGAAAAATAGAATCTCAAATGAAACTTTTCCTTCTCCCGGATGATATTCAAATAGTATTTTATAAAGCAGTCCTGGGGCTGGGGTTGTGGCTCAGAGGTAGAGTGCTTGCCTAGCATACACAAGGCACTGGGTTCGATCCTCAGCACCACATAAATGTAAAATAAAGATATTGTGTCCACCTAAAACTTAAAAATAAATTTTAAAAAGCAGTCCTTCCTTATTTGAAGATTCATATTGTACTTTTATTAGTGGAATTGTATACACATATCTTTTTTTTAAAAAATATTTATTTAGTTGTAGATGAACACACAGTATCTTTATTTATTTTTATGTGGTGCTGAGGATTGAACCCAGTGCCTCACACATGCGAGGTGAGCACTTTACCACTGAGCTACAGCCTTAGCCCCATACATAATATTTTAGCATAAGTCATTACTTCAGAGGATTGCAGGCCATAAGTGAATCCTCAAACAGGAGAGCTCAAGCTTCTCCTGCCCAAGATGATTGGCTTAATTCTGATGGTCTCTGTGCCTGACAAATAGAGGCGAGAGACCTCTGTCTGGCTTCTTCTGTCTGTTCCCTCTACCTGAAGATGAAGAACCAACTCCCATTTTCACACCTGATCCTCCTTCTTGAAACTTCACTCTGTTTGTACCCTGTCTCTTTGAAGTTTTCCCTGTCTCCTTGTTTGACTGGGACAGTTTGCTCTCCTGCCTTGGAGCAAGTTCCTAGGTTAACCTCACTCTAGCCTAGTCTGAGAATGGTCAGACTAGGCTATGGTCATGAGTCTCTTGGGTATCTAGAAAATGAACATGGAACCAAAGGAGATTGGTTTATCTATTTAAAGCAGACAGCGGAGATGCTGGAAATATGTTCAAGAAAATTCAGTGCAGGGTTGGGGTTGTAGCTCAGTGGTAGAGTGCTCGCCTTACATATGTGAAGCCCTGGGTTCAGTCCTCAGTACCACATAAAAATAAATAAATTAAATAAAGGCATTATGTCCATTTATAACTAAAAAATATTTAAAAAATTCAGTGCAGGCCTGACTTATGAGGTAGGGTGTGTTAGCAGTGCTGAGGGCTAGACCTTCTACACCAGTAGCTTTCCCTTACTCTTTCTTTTTCTGTTCTCCTGTTGTCCAAGGTGGCTTTTCTCTGGGTACCAACATCCCTTCCCCACAGGAGCATTTTTCCTATAATGGCAGGTTTTGCTTTTCTGGAGCCATTAAAAACTGAATGCTTTTAAGAACTGGTTAACCTCAGGGCCTGATTCCACTGGAAGCTGAGGTACAAGAAGAGAGAGGGTGGACTTTGTGTACAAGACTAAGAGAATAGACCTGGTAAATGCCCCTTGGAGGATGAGCTCATGGAAAGGTTCACTGAGTGATTTATACCAAAGGTAGAGTTGCTGGATGGAGTAGGGAAATACCCAAGAAGGTGGCTTATAGAACTTGCTAGTCCTTTTCTTCTTCCTGTCCATTTATTGTACTTAGTCAGGTTTTGTGCTTTACTCCTTACTGCATATTAATACTGCTTTCCTATGTGCTACTATAGTGTGGAATGAAGAAGGGGGCCATTAATGCTCAAAGGTCCCATCAGCAAGCTCAATAAAAACAGGATAATTCTCCACTCTGCATTCTGTGCCCATGGAAAGAAAAGAGGGGAATTAATAATAAACTAAAGCACATACATACTAATACCATGCTTATCACCTTCCTTCTGGGCCAGGAGGGCTTGCGCTGGTTATGTGGGTATTAGTAGCTCCAGTTGGCTGGTGCCAGGAAGACATGCCCACAAGTGTGCCACTGAGGGACCCTAAGTCAGGTCCTGGACCCCAGAAGGGGAAGAGGCTTTGAGTTAGCATGGTAAACCAGGTATGTAGGTTGACTGAGAGCAGAGCAAGAGCCTCTCTTATGGGCACAAAATCTTCTGCAATTTTGGAAAGGTTCTTGCTTCAGTAGTGTACTTTGTATGGGTGAATATTTTCTTAGTGAATATTTTTGATATAGAAGCATTCAGTGTTATATAAAAATGAAAAATGTTTTCTGATTTATGGGTAAAAGCCATTAATATTTAAATCTTTCTTTCTGGTGGTGAAAAAAATTCATTTTATAACACTAGTTTCTATTTGTTTGAGACAGGAGCTTAGCCACTATAGTTCCTTTGATGGATCCTATTTCAAATTTTAAAATGTGCTCAAAGCTGAGTAATGAGAGAACAATTTCAACAGAGTTATATATACCCGTCTATCCAGGGCACCCAACAGTAGGTATTCAGAGGGCCTCATGAGAAGCTCTACCAGAGATGGGATCAGGATGGCCAGGATGCCCCAAAGAAGCCTGAATCAGCACTGACAGTTCAACCAGAAGCAAGTTTAATTTAGAATAACCCCAATATGAGAGAAGACCAGACTGTAGGTAAAGGAAATTAAAGACAAGAACTTATACCAACAACAGACAGTGCAGGACTCCTTTGGCTATGGTTACCATCCATTCATTTTTACTGTTTACATTTTCTTAAGCAGCAAATTAAAAAGCCACATTAATTCTTCAAGTATATATAACACAGAGAGTCTTCAAATATATATAACACAGGTTCCAAAAACTTCTGATGTAGGAGCATTAGTATTTATAGATGTGCAAAAGCTGGTATGTGGGGTTGTCTCTTACTCCTACAATTTGGAATTGGCTTCCAAGACATAGAATTAAGCTGTTGTTTTTTTCCCTCTGGAGAAAAATAATGCTTCTTTCAAATCTGATGAACATACATGGGTACCTAGCCACTCATCCCTCCTCTGCAGCTGCTGCCTACCCTATAGTGTCAAGATGTCATGTGTCACAGAGGCAGATGAGGGGATAAAATGCCTGCCTAAGGATACCTACCTTGCCTTTGTTGAAGTAGTGGATGATCTTCCGGCACAGTCCCTCTTTTCGTTGCCATTCTGTTTGAGATGGGTAGTGCAGGAACTCCCGTAGTGGCCGGTCCTCCCATTGCAGCAGCTCACAGTAAAGGAGTAGGGTGAATGCAGCCTCTGTGGAAACAGGCAGCATGGAGGCTCAGGGTTTCCTTTCGGGGTCTAGGAGAAGCCTGGTGCCAGAGGTCCATGCTGAGCAGAATACCAGGGCAAGGCACATGCAGCCCAGGTCAGGGACACTGGATACCAATGTGAGACAGTAGGGCTGCCCAGCATGAAGGAGCCAGAGATCCTGGTAGATAACTTCCTCCCAAGGCCTGGTCACCTGTTCTGGGCTCCAGATAAAAAAATAAAGAATGGCTCAGCTACCTGAGAGTCTATGCACAGGTTATCCTGCTTCAGGTGACACTGATATATCAGAGAGCTCTTGAGTTCCTGTTTGGTCAACTCAATACAGCTTTCTTTCCAATCCTCTCAGAACTATTGGATAAACACCAACTAAGGCTTCCTTCACTTTTCCCTAAGCCACCTTCAATGTCTCTAGCTCCATTTTCTACCCTCAGCATAGTCTTGTGACTGACTCCTTTTCTCTCATCATTAACATTTCCAAAAGGGCCAAAGAGTAGGAGTGCGAATGATATTAATTGTGAGATGGGCCTGGAGCCAGAGGTTCCATTCCTGGAGGAACCTAAGTTAACAATGAACCCAGAGTGGAGGTCTGGCAACAACTGATTCTGTATGTGAAACAATTAGGGAGAGTTACATTTTTAAAAAGAAACAGCAGCTAAGTAGTATGGTTGCCTAAGTTTCGAGAGATGAATAACACTGAATTATAGCCACTGTTCAGGGTCCTCATTATATCATCTTTCTTTCCTATTCTATTTTCTCACGTTTAGTGGGTAATTCTAAGCTGGTAAATTAATTAGTTCTAGCTTCTGCCTAGCTTAAAGGCCCTACTCGATCCTGCTTCCCATAATTATGAAGAATCTTATTTTTAATAAACTTGTACCCACTTCCAGGTAGTGAAGCCCACTTGCCTGTGGCCACTTTCTAGGTTCCTCCTTATCCTTGCCTATTTGCCTGTGCCTGCTACCATTGAAACCTCTTGTGAGGAATGCACATAGCTCCTCACAGGGTGGGGAAGCCTTTTCTCTGTGGGTACCAAGGAGCCTTTTATCTCTGTGGCATCAGGGCCTCCCTTTGTAGCTCAGGGAACTCTGTGAAAATTTTTTCCCCATCTATATTTTTTCTGATGTCATTCCAGGAGCCACTAAAGAAAAGGCTTAGTACCTTTTTATCCAGATCCCTGAGCCAGCCTCCTAGTCATGGTCTAGTCCCTGAGGAGTTTAGCAAATGCCTCTTTTGACTCATGGAAATTATAAAAATATTTCTCTTCACTGCCCTTTTAGAAGGTTGCTGGGATCATGGATGGAAGAGGATGCAGAGTATAGAAAACTTGGCTCATAATAGTAACAAAACCAGCATGGTATTGGCACCAAAACAGGCCGGTAGACCAATGGTACAGAATAGAGGACACAGAGACTAACCCTCAAAATTACAATTATCTTATATTAGACAAAGATGCCAAAAACATGCATTGGAGAAAAGATAGCCTCTTCAGAAAAAAATGGTGCTGGAAAAACTGGAAATCCATATGCAACAAAATGAAATTAAACCCCTATCTCTCACCATGCTCAAAACTCAACTCAAAGTGGATCAAGGACTTAGGAATTAAACCAGAGACTCTGCATCTAATAGAAGAAAAAGTAGGCCCTAATCTTCATTATGTGGGATTAGGCCCCAACTTTCTTAATAAGACTCCTATAGCGCAAGAATTAAAACTAAGAATCAATAAATGGGATGGAATCAAACTAAAAAGTTTCTTCCCAGCAAAAGAAATAATCTGTGAGGTGAACAGAGAGCCTACATCCTAGGAGCAATTTTTTACCCCTCACACATCAGATAGAGCACTAATCTCTAGAGTATATAAAGAACTTGTCATGAGCAACTAATAAAAAAAATTTAGTGTCAGTATCTACAGTCTTAATTCTTGTAAATGTTTTCTAAATATTCTACATATAGGAGTATCATGCCATGGTTTTAGATAAAAATAGATACATTTGAGTGCTTCTTAAATTACTTTTTAACGATTATTTCTTCTGAAAGTGGAAAGGCTATTACTTATTGTTTATTTCTTTCTTAAAAAAACAGAGAATAAATGATATTATTCTTAAAAAAAAAAAAAAAGCTAAGCACTGAAAAAAACAACACAATCAACAAATGGGCCAAGGACCTGAATAGGCACTTCTCAGAAGAGGATATACAATCAATCAACAAATATATGAAAACATGCTCATCATCTCTAGCAATCAGAGAAATGCAAATCAAAACTACTCTAAGATATCATCTCACTCCAGTCAGAATGGCAGCTATTATGAAGACAAACAACAATAAGTGTTGGCGAGGATGTGGGGAAAAAGGTATATTCATACATTGCTGGTGGGACTGCAAATTCGGGCAGCCAATGTGGAAAGCAGTATGGAGATTCCTTGGAAAGCTGAATGAAATCACCATTTGACCCAGCTATCCCTCTCCTTGGATTATACCCAAAGGACTTAAAAACAGAATACTACAGGAACACAGCCACATCAATGTTTATAGCATCACAATTCACAATAGCTAAACTGTGGAGCCAACCTAGATGCCCTTCAGTGGATGAATGGATTAAAAAATGTGGCATATATAGGACACGGCTTTTGCTGTAATGAATTAATCCCCTGAACCCCGAGTTCAGGTAGTTTCAGAGTTTTATACCAAGCATGTAAGGGGAGGGGCTCAGAAATTCATGGTCTGCAGAAGTTCACATAAAAGCAGCTTTTTCTCTCACTGTTCTGGGCATGTTAACCCTTCGAGGACAACACCTGAGAAGGGGAGAGCTTCTTCTCCCCTGTCTAGTCTCCCCCTGCCAGCTGTTACCATGGAGTCCAGTTGGTAACTTCTTGTATCTTAAACATGTAGACATCTCTGTGAAGCCCAGCTCAAGGCCAGGGGCCTTGTTTGCACATTTCTTCAAAGTACTATTCTGGATATGTTTGGAATTTTACTCAGCAATAAAAAAGAATAAAATCTTGGCATTTGCAGGTAAATGGATGGCGTTGGAGAAGATAATGCTAAGTGAAGTTAGACAATCCCAAAAGAACAAATGCTGAATGTTTTCTCTGATATAAGGAGGCTGACTTATAGTGGGGTAGGGAGGGGGAGCATGGGAGGAATAGATGAATTCTAGATTGGGCAGAGGGGTGGGAGGTAAAGGGAGGGGGCAGGGTATTAGCAAGGATGGTGGAATGTGATGGACATCATTATCCAAAGTACATGTATGAAGACACGAATTGGTGTCAACATACTTTATATACAGATATAAAATATTATGTTGTATATGTGTAATAAGAATTGTAATGCATTCTGCTGTCATTTATTTTTTTAAAAAATCAATAAAAAATACTTGGCTAATTTTTATTTTGAGATGGGGTCTTGTTATGTTGCCCAGGATGGCCTTGAACTCACAATCTTCCTCACACAGCCTCCCAAGCAGACCCCAGTCATTTTAGATGTAATTTTTGTCAAGTTGTGCTACCAGAAAATGTGGTATCTATGCCAAACACTCTAACATCTAGAGGTAAGAAAGGAAGGTTCTCTGTTTTTACCAATTTATCAAATTTTAGCATTGTTTGCAGATAAGAAGAATTCATATTTCCTTAAATATCATATAAATTCAGGTTCTACAGTCTAAGGGCTAAGATATAGTGGAAAAGATGGCTATTCTGTGGGGATACTATAGTACAAGGTGATTAGATAGTACACAAATGCATACACACACATTCCTTACTCAGAGTGGTTCTTAGTCAACAATGTGACAGACATTTTGGATTAAATTATAAATAATGAAAGGGTCCTTGTTTGGCCTATTAAGAAGTCATATCAACACTCTCCATACCCTCCATTGGGAGCTCAGTGTGGGACTGCTGTGCAGTTGCAGGGAAGCACCTAGACTGCAAGGCAGATCTCCCAATGTGTTCTGGAAGTCTCAGAGTTAGCGGCTATGACTTTGTTACAATCTCATTTAGCTTCAACTTTGAAGGGCTTAAGAAAGATTCTGTTCATGAAGAGTGACAGCTCAAGATGCTCTGAACCTGGTATATCAGAATCTGGAAGTCACCCTTGAGGTCTCAGAGGGATGGGTAGAAAAGAAAGAGAATAGAACAGCCTTTGGTAGAGGAGGCCATGGCAAGGAGGCGCAGGTGGAAGTTTTGCTTTCTTTGTCTCCATCACTTGCCACAAAGGAGCCGAGGGAAAGGAGTGAGGTGAAGGCACAGCACAATCCCCCTCATTTCTTCTGAGATCAACCTGGAGACTTTATCTGTTAGCTGTGCATATCTTGCCAGTATGTTCTCATAGGAAGGCATGGCTCTTCCCTCTCCCTACTCACCTGTGTAGTTTTCAGCCTGTAAGTGCATGTCACAAAGCTTATGGATATAGCGGATATACATTTCTTCTTTGTTAATCTCAGACTTGTAAAAGTTCTGTGAGAAGGAAATACACATCAAATGAGAAAGTCTGCTATCTATGGAGGCCACACCTGAGTTCCAGGTAGCTATCCAGAGCCCAGAGTATACTGGGAGAAAAGGTCCTGGAGTTAGATAGCACTAGGAAAGGAAAGGACCAGGCAGAAGGAACACTTGCTGGGGATGGAATTGGTGGATTGTGGGAGTCCTGAGTGTTGTGAAAGAGGAAGAGCCCCACAGCAGATTAGGGATTAGGGCAGACTGGGAACAGGGTATGTCATGGTTGGTGGGACCTTGCAAAGAGGCCAAATTAGAGCTCTGTCCAAAGCAAAGCTAATTTCATTCCTTCCCCAAGTGGGAAAGTATCTGGTTCAGGCCTCCCAGTAACAGAGTTGATACCCTGACTTAAATCTTCAGCCATTGTATTATAGAAGGCCAAGATAATCAGTGTAGGATAGAAACTCCCACTAGACAGACAGGAGGAAGAGCTAGTGTCCTCTCACCATCAGGTTAACAGTGCAGCCGATCTTTTTATTCTCTGTCTCCTCTCCTTTCATGCAGTCCCTGGAAGGGAGAACAAAGATAAATACCTATGAAATGAAGCAGAACTACTGAAACAATACATAAAAAAATTACAGTAACACTGGGTCATCATCATAACCAAATCTCAGATTAGGATGCCTTCCAACAGAAATCACGAACGAGTACTGTACTGTGAGCTCCCTCTAAGCTTTGCATCCACTTCTTTGGGCTCAAATATCTCTGTTCTACTGAGATTCTTGTTCTGGTGGCAGAGTGCAGAGTCCAGATGCTATATCAAAGGCACTAAGTAGCACCTGCCAACATTCTTGGCACAGAATGACATGTCAGTCCCCCCAAAAGGAGGCATAGAACTCTCCTTAAAAGGAAAGTTTTATTTTTTGGATAGTAAATAGAAGCTAAGCCCTCTACTCAAGGGTCTAGCTTTAGAACCCTGTGGCCATAGCAATCACGGCATGGCTAATGGGCTCACCACATAATTGGCATTTCTACCTATGGTCTTTGCTCAATGTACTAGTCTTTGGAACCATATCTCACTAGAAGGAACAGGCCTGCTGCTTCTTTCTGATTCAGAGACAGCATTAGCTGGGGTTGGGCTACATTCACACCTAGAGGGTCTGGGTGTAGCAAGGGTCAGTGTTGGCCTGTAGACAGAACAATGGGAACACTGAGAAGGATTCTTCCCAAAGGAGATAGGGGACTAGTCACAGCCAGGCTTGTCTGGGAAGGAACAGAAGCCTGGCATAAGGAGATGAAGGGCAGTGAGCACCAGACTGGTGAATCCAGAAAGAAGCCTCCTGTACACACAGCCAGAGTCACTGAATCTCTGTATGGTTATTTGGCAAACCCAGTTCTCCTTACCTTCCCAGAACACAGAGGGAAGACTCTGACATGGCTACTTTGAAAGGAAGAAATATTGAAAATTCATGCCACTGTGATATCAGGGCCTTCCTATATATCTTTGTGCTCCACAACCACCTGCATTTCAATATCAAGCATCTCTTTCTCTTTCTTATTTTTGTGGTGCTGGGCACTGAACCTAGGGCCTTGCACATGCCTGGTAAGTACTCTACCACTGAACTACATCCCAGCCTTTCTTGCACTGTTGACAGCAGCATCTTCTTTTTTGAGTGATTTTGTATCACTTCTGTATGGCTCATCAATAAAGAAGATAGCTTTTAATGTATTTGACTTGGATGCAGCTAATGTTTTCCCTTTATCTCTTTTTCTGGAGTGTAAGGAAGAACCTCTTGAAGGAGGCTGCTGAGGCAACAGGTGCACCCATGTGCACCTGTTTGCTGAGGTCTAGATCAGTTGCCAGGGTGTTCCTACTGCAATTGGAGGGGCCTAGGAAAGGAAGGTTCCATAAACTCCAGTTACCAATTGCAGGTAGGTGTTCTACTTAGAGACTCTAGGGCTTGGAAAACCTGTATGTCTATTTCTAAGAAAACCCTTCTAGGGTTCTTCTTCCCAACCTGGGAAACATGGGTGCAACCAATAAGTATCTTTATATCTCACTGATAGCGTCTTGGATTCACATAAAAGTTAAAGACATTAATATAAAAGCTGAAGAGTCACTCCTCTGAATATACGAGGATATTTGCCAGTCTAAAATTAAGCCTCACACTGAAGTTCAGGAATATAACCCATTTATAATATTTGTAATCAATATATGTAAATTTTAAATTTTCAATATTCGTTTTCTTAACAAATTCTTATTGAACTAAACTGTACTGGAGCAGAAGGAAAGATTTTCTTGGTTTCTGCCTGGCCTTCCTAGTGAATTCATCTTATCAATCATTATTTACTATGTACCTGCCAGAGGCAATCTCCATGTAGGTGAACAGGGGAAAATGGACAAGGCTCTTGTCTTTAAGGAGTTGGCTCTTTCTGTGATAACTGATAATCAACAAGGTATGTACTGAATGCCAGGTGAGCTTTTAGCTTGGAAAAACCTTTTTTATGGGGATGGGTTGGGTTGGAAGACTCTCTTAGGAAAGGATATAGCATGTAGAGAATTCTGATGGAAAAAATATGAGTGGTGACAACATGGATGAGGAGAATCAAACTCATTTTTTTTGGACTGGGGATTGAACCCAGGGGTACTTTACCACCAAGCTACATCACCATTCCTTTTTATTTTATTTTGAGACACAGTCTCAATAAGTTGCTGAGGCTGTTTTTGAATTTGTGATCTTCCTGCTTCATCTCCTGAGCAGGAAGATCGGATTCATATGTCACCTGGTACTAATACATGACCCAAGAGAACTTTGAGTTGCTTTTCCAGGGACTGGGGACCTCCCTTTTTCATGCCTACATTCTCTGCTTGAAGTAAGTCTATTTATACAGATGGCATCACTGAAGCTTTTTTTTTTAAACCATTTTTTTAAAAAAAACGACAGCAGAATGTATTACAATTCTTATTACACATATATAGGACAATTTTTCATATCTCTGCTCTATCTAGAGTTCATCTTTTCCTCCCATGCAGCTCCTCTCTACCCCACTATGAGTCAGCCTCCTTGTATCAGAGAAAATATTCAGCATTTGTTTTTTTTTTTTTTTTGGGGATTGGCTAACTTCACTTAGCATTATCTTCTCCAAAGCCATCCATTTACCTGCAAATGCCATGATTTTATTCTCTTTTACTGCTGAATAATATTCCATTGTGTATATATGTCACATTTAAAAAATCCATTCATCTACTGAAGGGCATCTAGGTTGGTTCCACAGTTCAGCTATTGTGAATTGTGCTGCTATAAACATTGATGTGGCTGTGTCCCTGTAGTATGCTGTTTTTATGTCCTTGGGTAAAGGCCAAGGAGAGGGATAGGCGGGTCAAATGGTGGTTCCATTTTCTTTCTTTTTTTTAGCATGGTTCTTGAGTCAGCTAGATTTGTGTTCAACTTCTGAAAATATCCCTTCCCATTGTTGTGTCCTCATTCGTAAGAAGAAGGACCACCCTAAGGACCACCCTTTAGGGATGTTAATGGGATTAGAGACAATGCATATAAAGCACTAACATGGTAGATTTTCAGTAGATGGGAGCCAACATAAACATCATGGCGTTTCCTTCTATGTTGACAAGGAACAATGAAGAGAGGATGGGATTTGGAATGTGAATACTGGGGACTGGAAGGAGTTGGGCTTGTGAGTTGGGCAAAGGCCAGTTCAAGAAGGGCATCTGATGTCATGTGAAAGACTGAGGACTTGTTTTGTAGGTACAACCATTGAGATAAAAAATAATGAAGAATAAAATTGGTTTTGGCCAGAATTTTAGTTCCTTGTAGAGGGTAATTAAGAAAATCAAACAGCCAGATAGAAGTAGGCTGGGAAACTGAAGAAATTAATTTCTTTTCCTTATGGTAAACCACAGTGAATAAGGCCAACGTAAGTGCTGCAACAAGGGGGAGATGATGAAATTTGCCCATCTCTCTTCCCTGTCTGATGGCAGGTAGAGAAAAGGCTGAGGACCTGTCATGAGAAAGGAAATCCTTATTCTAAAAGGGGTCCCAAAAAGGTTGCCTTTGACTTTGTCAGTCCCAGGAAAAATAGGCCAAATCTTAGCTGTGCTACAGAAAGAGGGGATACTCAGGATGTGAACACATTTTTCAGGAATTTCATTTCTATAGCCAGACCAGTACACTGGACCTGAGTCTTCTTCACCAGCACCTTCTACTTCAGCAGCAACTGGAGATGGCCCAAACTCTCTCATTTCTTGATCAATAGGTTAAAATGCTACCCTTTGGTATCTCATAGCACTTTTCATTGGAACCAGCTTTTGTTTATTTATCATTCCTATCCATTCCTCATCATCTTCTTGGCTCTCAAAAGGTACCCGTAGCCACCACTTGAACACTACTGAAAGAATAATTAAGGCTGTAATAGTCATTTCATTTTACTTTGGACTAATTCAAAAGCTATAAGGTGACTGGGAAGATAGGCTTTTATGGAGTAACTAATTTCACACAAACTCTCGGCCTGAACATAGTATAAAGATCAGAGCTCACAGGTTGTTTCCTCTCATGTCTAGGATCAGGGGATATAAATAGATTTACTTTAAGCAGAAAATGTAGGCATGTAAAAGGGAGGTCCCCAGTGCCTGGAAAAGCAACTCAAAGTCCTCCTGGGTCATATATTGATACCATGTGACATATGAATCTGAGGAGGGTCTGCACTAAGGAATTATAGCAGTTCTCTGCCTTGCTCTGGAGATAGCTTTTCTCTTCCTTCTTGCTGTGCCTATTCATCTGAGCCTTGACATTTCTGGATGAAAGGTGAGATGATTGCAGATCCCTGGGATACCTCCTGGATACGTGAACCCACATTTTAGAGGGGGCTTCAGGAAGTCTTGCCTACTCCTGGGAGAAGTCTCTGTTCCTCGTCATCAGACCTAATGGCGATGCTACCGGATACCAGAACAGTCTTCTCCATGAAGGGCACACAGTTTCAGTTTTAAGGTCAAGGGAATGCCCTTGAAGGAGAGAGTATCCTGAAAGAGATCAGGCAGATGCCTGAGAAAATACCTGTAGTCAAGAAGGCGTTCCATGAGGCGGGTTACTGAGGTCACAAAGGAAATACCTGTCTCTCGCCATGTTTCCTGTTCAACCTTCTCCAGCAGGCTATTGGTGGAGAGGAATGAAACACAATTCATGAGCTTTTTCTGAACACAAGAATGAGATTCAAGAGTCTGTGAGGGCTATGATGGATCTGGAGGCAGCAGACTTACCACACCATAGTCTTACCTGGGGTAGGGCCCAAATAGCTGGGTTCTACTCCATGCAGCAGAAAGCAAAGACAAGGAAGTTATTGGATTGGCAGCAAAAAATGAACACATCTCTCATTTCCATGTATGTGTTCCTAAGGATGCCACTGAGTTATAAGTGAGGAAAGCCCCAGTCCCCTTAAGCTATGCTATGAGGTTTCTTCTCAAGGAGAAGCTGAGTAAGGGCCCATAGAGGGATAATCCTTGCTCTACCAATTGGCTCACTGTCTCTATTGCTGCCCAGAGCTATCTTCAGCAAACATAGAAATCAACTTCTTTATGTACATCAAGGGAAAGATTCCCCAGTAGCATTGGGTGTCTCAGTATAAGGGAGAGTGAACAAGTCCAGGAGCTATCCCCATAATTAGGAGTACGCCTAAGCAAAATGTGCCAGATTAATACCCAAGTCTTAATACTCAGGTCTTTTTGTGTTTTGATAGCTCCCTCTTTTATCATCTCAGGAAGCCTCTGGATTCTCCAAAACACCTGGCTTTCAGCTCTTCTGGAGTTCCAAGTCTTTTCTAGAGGATGATAACCTAAACTTTTTGCTTGCTGCAATAACAAGTCCAGCTCCAGGTTTTTACAGCATATAACTCTATTCCTGATTCCTTTATTGCTCTCTAAGCTTATGAAAGTCGCCTGGAATGGCTGGCCCAATTAGGGATAATCACTGGGGACTAAAATCCACACCGTGGCTCTGCTACAGTGATGACACTCTCTGCACAGAGTATTAGCTTGGGCCAGGACATTGGGGAAAGTGAGGGTTTCCCACATGATCCTTGTTGTTAGAGAGAGAAGTCGAAACCACTGACTGGGGGCCTATGAATTGTGTGAACAAGGCCAGTATACTAGCATTTTCAAACCATTATACAGAGCTCTGCTATCTTGGACAGGAAGAGGGGTCCTGTGAATGCACAAGCATGGGAAATGCTGGTCACTACACTCTCCTTTTGTAGATTTTTCACACCTTTCTGCACATTAAGAGTTTGAGAGGACCTTTAATAAAGAGGCTTATTCATTTTGTTTAATTGAATATTTTCTAAACTAGTTAGACCACGATTCACTCCCCCCCCCCAAGTATATCTATAAACATCTTTCCAAAACACAAACTAGAAATGCTGCTCTATTTTATCCATGGCCATCAATTCTCAGACTGATTTTAAAATGCTTTGCAAACACTATTTGGTCAGGTAATTAATAATAGTGGATTGTGTGTGTGTGTGTGTGTGTGATATTCTTTTTTTTGTGGTTATTACTTTTTCCTTTGTTGTAAAGTCATTTTCTAGTGACCCAGGAAGAGATTTCTTCCACAATTAAAAAATGTACCTTCAGTTAAAAGAGAAATACTAAAGGATGAATTCATTTTCATAGATTATTATTATTTAAATGTCAAATAAATTCACACTTTATCTTATGGTAAATGAACAATATGGGCAGGATACAGCAGAGAGATTTCCCCTTCTTGAAACTGGAAAATCTGGGTCTTCTTTCTAGAGGTGCCTTTTACTAGTCAGGTAACTGAGGACATACTGGCACTTCCCTGAATCCAGTTCATCACTTCTAAAGTGGCAAGGAGGATAATCTCTGCCCTGCCCACATATCAGGTGTGTTGTGAGGATCTAGTAAAATGAGAAATATCCATATATTTTTAAACTGTAAAGTTCTAAGTAAACATTCAATATTATCACAGGAAAATACTTTAGAGGTTAGTCTTAAAAATGGTACTAAGACAAAGTTTCAAATCTGGAAATGATGAATAAGATGGGAGAATATTCTAGAGCTTAGATTTCATTTTTTAAAGGAAATACAACATCACTATTACATGGGAGGGCAGTTTCTGAGTTCCTTCTTTGATCTTAGCCCTTGGCAAGTCCTCTAAGGCCTGTTGGCCTCCAGTCAATTCAAGACAGAAGCCATGAAACAATGGACCTGGGACAGCATTGGCATTATTTAATATAACCACCTAATTTCACAAACAGGGAAATTAGCCTGGGGATGGCGGTGGGTGACATGTTTAAGAGCCCATTGCAGTGTTTTTCAAACTGACTAATATCTTACGAAGGAGGGAAAATAGAATCCTTCTTTTTGTGTGTGTGGTACTGAAGATTGAACCCAGGGCCTCCTATACATTAGGCAAGTTACTCTACCACTGAGCTACAGTTCTAGCCCTTTTTAAAATTTTTTATTTTGAGACAAGGTCTAAGTTGTCCAGAATGGCCTCAAACTTGTGATTCTCCTGCTTCAGTTTTCCAAGTAGCTGGAATTATAGGTGTGTACCATTGTACCCTGCATGGAGTCCCTTTTTAAGAAGAGAACCCCCACCTCCCACAATGCCAGTGTCAAGACCTAAACTATGATTGACTTCTCATGATATGTTTGCTCAAATGGATACAGTGCATATTATGAGATATACAATGATCCTTTTCCTGAGCAAATCCAGGTGCTCAGTTATTGTGTTTTCATAGCTCTTCAGTAACATGGCAATCCCTGAGAAAGCTTGCTTTCTTGTTGAAAGAGGTAAGCACTGCTACCACCAGGAACAATAGAGTCTCTCCTGATACCCAACTTTGGCAGCCTGCCCAGTGCAGGTCTAATCTCCTCCCTTCATTAGCCTGCTTTATTCCCTCCCCCAACATGGAACACCTGGGGCTAGAGCTGCTTACAGAAGGCTGAAGAGCTCCCTGTAGCTTTCATCGCCTTTCCCCTCTGATACCATGCTGTCCAGCTTGTCAATCAGCTCGGCTTCCACCTAGAAGGAAGCAGAGATTTCATAAACTCGAACAGAATTGAGAGGAAGAATGGGAAATCTGTCCCCTTGCTGGGCAAGGTGGTGGAAAACTGCTTCCTGATTTTATCCATGCTCCAAATAAATTCCAGGGAAGACAAGATTTCATCTACAGCACCAAAAAAACCATGATGACTTCCCCAATCAGAAAGTCCTCTTACCCTAGTGGTTTAAATTAGACATAGAACTTAAGGTTTCATGTACCCCTTTCCCAATCTAGGGGCAAAGAAAAGTATTTTGGATCCAAAAAAGGCCTTTGTCAAATGTTTATTTTATTTTAAAAATATTCATTTAAAAGAATCTATAAATAAACTATGTTGGGTTATAACTTTACCCTCTATTCAGCCAATCAAAAAGGAAGCTTGTTGGGTAGTTGGTCTTCAGTGTAATGAGGCTGAGATTAGTTGGGATAGAATGAGATATGAATTATTTCCTTCAGAGCTTTTCCTCCAGGACAACAGGGTCCAGTGTTTGTACTCATAGGACCTAAAGCCCTTGGGGCCACTCTCCCTGTCACTACACTATCACTGGGCCCCTAAACTATGAGTAGGAATACTACATTTGTTCTTACTCCATGGATCTGCAGGGGCATTTGGCAGTGCTCAGCCACTTTTCTAACAGGCCTCATTGGATTTACTCTGAGGTAAAAAATTAGTTACAAGTGACAGAGATAAAAAAATCTTTTTACCCTTCATTAGCCTTTAATGTGTGTTACTGTTTATTGATATAGGTATTTCATATAAACAATAAAAAATCTCAGCATGATTACATTAAATAATGTTCCCCTAAAAGGATTTTCTCATTCCACACAGGGTAAAAGAATCTTAAGGAAAAGTAATAAAAAGAACAACTGATTCAGTAATATAATTGAAGGCAGGTAGGGTTTGTTAAATCCCACCAGCAGAAAATGAGAATGAATGAATATGGCTTTTTAAAATAGTGGCCCACCACATGGTCAGGAAGGAACTTACAATGCTAGGGCCATATACTTATTATTTTGCCTGATGAGTTAGCTGCTTGAATACACATTAAAGAGGAAACAAATTCTGAGAGCAGGGGTCCTCAGAAATCGATGCTATCCTGCTCTCTCAGGGCAGAGAAGATAAAGCCAGGTGGGTCTGGATATAGAAGCCAAATATTTTACTCCCAGTTCAAAGCATGTCTTGCCTCACTAGGTCAACCATTGGCTAAACCGAAGGGTCTGATTATAGCAAGGGATCTCTTTTCACACATGAAGGTACAGGTAGACTGTGCTTTCCAGAAAAATGCAAAGATGGCAGAGGTAACCTCAAGTAGTATAATACAAACACTGCCAATGAGGTAGAGCAGTCAGTCCACTAGACTCTAAAGGTTTTCAAAACTGATCCCTGGGCCAGCAGCCTTAGTCTTAAGATCTGTGGTAAAGATCTTAAGACTTTAATAATCTTAAGACTTTTAAATCCAGATTCTCTGGCCTCCCTAGGCCTTCTGTATTAGAAACTCAGAATGGAGGTGGAAGTTAGCAATATGTTTTAACAAAACATCCAGGTTGCTCTGATGCTTATTCATGTTATAACTTGAATTAGGGAAAGGAACTGGTGATGAAGGATATGGAGGCAGAGCTGATGAAGGAAGAAGTTGTTAAGAGAAATCTAAAGATCAATGCAGGCTAATTTGATGACTTCAAGTCAAGCAAAAGAAGTTCTTCAAATATATCATGTCATAATTATTAATATTGACCATCAGGTTTGCAATGTTACTTTTATTGTTATTCATTCAACATTTGTTTGCAGTATAACCAGCTGCGTAGTTCTGCACAAGTATTTACCTCTCTTAAGTCTAGGTTTCCTCATTTGTGAAATGGGAATGGTGGTAACATTCTTCTTTGGTGTCACTGTGCCCTGAATCTTGGGAACTACTTAATGAATGTTAGTTTTGATTTTCATCTCCATGAGCCCACCATGCCCCAGACCCTACAATGAGTCTAAGAGAGAAAACACACAATAAATAGTACTGGTATCGGAGAGGTCATCATCTTTTAGGGGAGCAGTCACAGTTTAGCATGGTCAATATTTAAATGGGGCACACATAGCAAAGGAGTCTGGGATCTGAGAAACCATTAACAAAGCTTCTTCTTATAGTGCTACAACAGCACAGGAAACAATCAAGAATGTGAAGAGAGAGCCTACAGAATGCGAAAAAATATTTGCTCACTACTCTTCTGACAGAAAATTAATAACCAGAATATATAGAGAACTCAAAAAACTTTGCCCCAACCCCCTCTCCCATGATAACCCAATTAAAAAATGGACAAAGAACCGAACAGATGCTTCTCAAAAGAAGAAACACAAATGGCCAACAAATACATGAAAAAGTGTTCAATATCATTAGCAATTTGAGAAATGAAAATAAAAATTACACATATTGCATTTCATTTCAGTTAGAATGGCAGTCATCAAGAATACAAACAATAACAAATGTTGGAGAGGATGTGGAGAAAAAGAAACACTTTTACACTGTTGGTGGGATTGTAAATTATTACAACCACCATGATAATCAGTATGGAGGTTCCTCAAAAAACTAGGAATGGAACTACCATTTGACCCAATATACAACTCCATGGTAATTATCCTAAAGAATTAAAGTAAGAACACTATAGTGATATATGCATACCCATGTTTATAGTAGCACAATTCACAATAGCCAAGTTATGAAACCAGCCTGGGTATCTGTCAATGGATGAATGAATAAAGAAAATGGACATACACACACACACACACACACACACACACGTGTGTGTGTTTCAGCCAGGAAGAATAGATTATGTCAATTGTAGGGAAATTGATAGAACTTGAGAACATTATGTTAAGTGAAATAAACCAAACACAGAAAGTTAGAGTCATATGCTTTCTCTCATATGTGGAAGACAGGGAGGAAAAAGACAAAGAAAGGTGGCAGGGGAGGGGGATCTCATGAAAATCAAGAGGAGACAGTAAAGTAGAAGAAAGGGAGCAGGGGCCTTGGGGCTGGGGGAGGGGAAGTAAAGGAGAAATACTGGGGAACAATATTGGCCAAATTATAGTTATAGTTATACTAGGATAATGCATCAATAAAATGACATAAAAATAGTACTATAAAAATTTAAGAACTGTTTTTGCTTTTTGAATTCAATGATTATAGGTTGAGAAGTTTACTTAAGAAAATAGGAATGGGTGGTTTTGCAATATTAATAGTAAGTTTTTAAAACTAGGAGCTTGACTATTATATATATTGTAACATAGATATGCAATGGAATAACTGTAGCCTCTAAACTGAGAGTGCAGTATAGAGGAGCATTAAGAGACATGAAGAGGTAGGTGTGACAAATTGCTACCAAAATGAGGGATTACAAACCAACATATCCAACAATTCGTTTTTTTAAACAAAAGAAACAATTGAAAAAATTGACAAAACTGAAAGTTGGTTCTTTGAAAAAATAAATAAGATTGACAGACCCTTAGCCATGCTAACGAAGAGAAGAAGAGAGAGAACTCAAATTACTAGCATATGGGATGAAAAAGGCAATATCACAACAGACACTTCAGAAATACAGAAGATAATTAGAAATTATTTTGAATCCTTATACTCCAATAAAATAGAAGATAGTGAAGGCATCAATAAATTTCTTAAGTCATATGATCTACCCAGATTGAGTCAGGAGGATATAGACAACCTAAACAGACCACTATCAATTGAGGAAATAGAAGAAGCCATCAAAAGACTACCAACTAAGAAAAGCCCAGGACCGGATGGGTATACAGCAGAGTTTTACAAAACCTTTAAAGAAGAACTAATACCAATACTTTTCAAGCTATTCCAGGAAATAGAAAAAGAGGGAGAACTTCCAAATTCATTCTACGAGGCCAACATCACCCTGATTCCTAAACCAGACAAAGATACTTCAAAGAAAGAAAACTACAGACCAATATCTCTAATGAATCTAGATGCAAAAATCCTCAATAAAATTCTGGTGAATCGGATACAAAAACATATCAAAAAAATTGTGCACCATGATCAAGTAGGACTCATCCCTGGGATGCAAGGCTGGTTCAATATACGGAAATCAATAAATGTTATTCACCACATCAATAGACTTAAAGATAAGAACCATATGATCATCTCGATAGATGAAGAAAAAGCATTCAACAAAGTACAGCATCCCTTTATGTTCAAAACTCTAGAAAAACTAGGGATAACAGGAACATACCTCAATATTGTAAAAGCTATCTATGCTAAGCCTCAGGCTAGCATCATTCTGAATGGAGAAAAACTGAAGGCATTCCCTCTAAAATCTGGAACAAGACAGGGATGCCCTCTCTCTCCACTTCTGTTCAACATAGTTCTCGAAACACTGGCCAGAGCAATTAGACAGATGAAAGAAATTAAAGGCATAAAAATAGGAAAAGAAGAACTTAAATTATCACTATTTGCAGATGACATGATTCTATACCTAGCAGACCCAAAAGGCTCTACAAAGAAACTATTAGAGCTAATAAATGAATTCAGCAAAGTGGCAGGATATAAAATCAACACGCATAAATCAAAGGCATTCCTGTATATCAGCGACAAATCCTCTGAAATGGAAATGAGGACAACCACTCCATTCACAATATCTTAAAAAAAATAAAATACTTGGGAATCAACCTAACAAAAGAGGTGAAAGACTTATACAATGAAAACTACAGAACTCTAAAGAGAGAAATAGAAGAAGATCTTAGAAGATGGAAAAATATACCCTGTTCATGGATAGGCAGAACTAACATCATCAAAATGGCGATATTACCAAAAGTTCTCTATAGGTTTAATGCAATGCCAATCAAAATCCCAACGGCATTTCTTGTAGAAATAGAGAAAGCAATCATGAAATTCATCTGGAAAAACAAAAGACCCAGAATAGCAAAAACAATGCTAAGCAGGAAGTGTGAATCAGGCGGTATAGCGATACC